AGGCTGGTCTCAAACTCCTGACCTCAGCTGATTCACCTGCCTGGGCGTCCCAAAGTGCTGGGATTACAGGTGTGAGCCACCGTGCCCAGCCTCTATGCTAATATCTATTGATTAACTTTTTCTTTTTCTTTCAGTTTCAGATCTCTAGGGTTGTTGGTATAATGAGTGATTTTCATGGAAACCTGGGCATCTTTGTACTATGTTATGAGGACCTAGATCTTATTTAAACCTTCTATTTTATCTGGCTTTTTCAGGCACTTCTCCAGCAGAGTGGTGGCAGTAGGGAGCACCCTTTTGGTGAGAGTAGAAATTTGGGGTTCCTCAATTGACCTCTGTTGACAACCCAGTTTCATTATTGTTGGGAAAAGTTAGGATTTCAAGCCCTCATTTGGTGTCTATTGATACCTTTCTGTGTGAAGGGGTAGGACTTTCTGTCTGGAGGGATAGGAGTGACTCCCCACATGACCTCTAATAACACTATGGCTGGGGCGTGGTTTGCTCTTCTTACTACTGACTGATGGTGAAAGTTGTGACTCTCCCTCTACCAGCACCTCTGACAGGAGGGGATGGGGGCCTCTTTATTGTCCAGTGAGGATGAAATTTCTGGCTCCTTACTTGGTCTTCTCTGATACCACGTGCGTGTGTGTGTGTGTGTGTGTGTGTGTGTGTGTGGTGGGAGGTTGTTTGCATGACTCACTATGCCTTTCAAAGGTGGAAATCTAGGCTTTCCCATCAGCCTTTGCTGGCATGGATGGGAGAGGAGCCACCATTTTTTCTGTGATAATTGGCTTGAGTAGAGTGACTATTACAAGTTTTCTGTCTTGGTAGGCTGCCCTTTTCCTGCTTCTTTCGCTGGAGAAAGCAGGCTTCCCTTGGGGCTCTTATTGTCTGCATCTATTTCATTTCTGAGTTTCTGAATTCTTCAGCTCCATGACTGGGATATATGAGGCTAAATGAAAACCCAGGGGAAGTCATCTCATTCTGCAAGTCACAAAGTCACCGCCTTAAAAGTCACTACAGCCTTGAACTCTTGTGTTCAAGTCATCCTCCCACCTCAGCCTCAGCCTTCTGAGTAACTAGGACTAATTTTTTAAATTTTTCATAAAGATGTTGCCCAGGCTATAAAAATGACGTTTTTAAAAAGAAAAACCATAGACCATGCTTGCTTATTAATACAGATTACACTCTGGAAGTAAATATTCATAGAATTCAAATGATGCCTGATCCATTCATCTGGGGATATACGTGATGTCATATGAACATCAGCAACCCAAATATCCTGTTCTTGCCTCTCTCAAAAAGTTCAAGTGTTTTTGGAATTCCCTGAGGGTTAGGTTTTCACAGGAATTAAATCATACAGTCAGCTTTCTGAACACACAATAGCTAAGATCCAAGCTGGGATTAGATACCCCACTATGCTTAGCCCTAAACCTTCAGCTGTGGTTACTATGCAGCATCCACTGTGTTTTTTTCTTTTTCTCTTATTTCTCTGAGTTAATGTTTGTTATCTGCAGAGGTATTTGAAGGAGGCTTACCTTTATTACTGCTGTTGCAGACTATCATAAGAATAGCAATGTCTATTTCAAGGATGCTGTTTCCAGATAATAAAAACATCTAATTTTCAAGATACTGAGGAGTTCTGCATAAAAGAAGCGTTTTCTGCTCAGCTTTGAGCCACCCATGGTAACTTGGGCTATGAAGCAGTACTGCGTGTTCCCAGTGCTTTTATGCATGAATCAAATACTCCTACAAATACTCTGTGCCAGTCACTTGCCTGTTTGCAGGTCAGTTTCCTGGCTTCCTCTGTTCTGCTCTATATCACGAGGAACTATGTTTCCCAAGGCTTTTTTATTTCTGACTTCTGCAAAGATTCAGCCAAGGGGAAGAGGGAGGAAGTAGAGATAAAACCAGGATATTTCTCCTTTTCTCTCTCTGCTTCAGGGGGCACCTCCACGGGCAGGCATATGTCCACAGTGGCTCCATCTCCCACCAAATAGTTCTTTCTTCTAAGATCCCAGCTTACTGAGAAGGTCCAGAATAGTCCATCTTCTGTAGGTGGTACAGCTCCTGGGCTCTGGTAACACCCCTTCTCCTCTTTGTTCCTCTAAACTAAAGATTTGTAGTAGTTTTCTTCTGTTGATAATTTTAGGACTGCCTCATTTTCCCTCCCCCACCCATTTAACTTCTCAATTTTTCTATTACCTACGTATCTAGTTAGATGTATTAAGTTTTCTCTGAAATACCTAGAGCTGTTTCTGTTTTCTTGGGAGGATTCCAACTGTTATAGACTTCTAAAAGTGGCCAGGTGCAGGGGCTTATACCTGTAATCTCAGCACTTTGGGAAGCCAAGGTAGGTGGATCACTTGAGCCTGGGAGTTCAAGATCAGCCTGGGCAACATAGTGAGACCTCGTCTCTACAAAGTAAACAAAAATTTAGCCAGGTATGGTGGTGTGTACCTGTAGTCTCAGCTGTTTGGTGGGGCTGAAGTTGAAGGATTGCTTGAGCCCAGGAGAGGATGCAGTGAGCTGTGATCATGCCATTGCACTGCAGCCTGAGTGACAGAGTGAGACCCCATCTCAAAAAAAAGTGTACAATTCAAACTTGTACAGCTGGGAGGTTGAGGCTGCAGTGAGTCAAGATTGCAACACTGCACTCCAGCCTGGGTGACAGAACAAGACCCTGTGTATAAAAAAAAAAAGAAAAAAGAAAAAACACAAGTCGAACAACTTGAGCAAGAATACTGAAGTCTCTGAGTGAACCAACAAGAAGTATAGGAACAACATATTAATATGAGATCAACTTCCTCTTTCCACATCATACTAGTTGTTAGGTACAAGGTTGTCATGTGGCTCAACCCTGTAGAAAACCATTCACATTTTAGTTCATGTAACTGTCAATCCTTAAAGTTGTGCAGTTCACAACATGGTCATCTGTGTCTAAAAACAATGAGTAGGTAGACATTGTCAAACCTCAATTATCTTAGGTATTAATATTTATCTATTAGTAGGGTTAAAGTTAGTCTTCAGTAATAGAAAGAAACTACAGTAGCCTGAAGAAAACAGTAATTTTCTCACATGTAAAAGTTTGTAGAGATGCAGTCTAGAGCCGCTATGGCCACTTTTCTCCACAACATTCACAGCACCCAGATGCTGGGTTCCTTTTAGCTCAAGAGCTCAATAGTTCCCTCAAGTGTGAACCTCATTCCTGTCATCCTGATCTTCCTAGAAGGAAACATCTTCCTTCTAGGCAGCAGAATAGAAGAAAGGACAAATAAAACAACAGCAACAACAAATCATGCCAAGGCAATGGAAAAATACCAAGTATCTCCTAAGGAAGAGTCCCAGTAACTACTATATGACATCTCCTTGGCCAGCACTTTCAGGACTAGGTTAGTGGGTTTAGATAGTTCCTTCTTTCATCTATGGTAATCTTTAAGGGGGAGAGAATCAGTTACCATACATTGATCTAATGCTTTGACCTTAAACTTAAGAGACTTTAGAAGATTTGGGTCCTTAAAGCCCCCTCAAAAGAAATAGAGACCAAACTTGAAACCTAGAAACATAGGTTTTCAGTGCTAGATTTTATTGAGGTGAAAAAAATTAGGTAAAAATTACCCAGCTACTTTAAAACTGATGTAGGGACTGAAAACTGGGTTTTCCAACTCCTGGTTCAGTGATCTCTTCAAGATAGGTTGCTTCACAGGAAAACTGTCTTCCTCCTGTGGCATATTAAACATGACTGCAAATTATTTGCAAATCCTTCCCTCAAGTGGTGGAGTTTATTTTAATCTCAGCCGGCCTTGGGACTTGCATTGACAAACAGAATATGACAGAAGTGATATTGTATAATATCAAGCCTAGGCATCCAGAGCCTCGCAGCATTTACTCTTGCTCTCTTAGAATCCAGTTGCCACAGGAACTAGCCCAAGCTAACCTGCTAGAGGGGCCTCATGGGAAGAGCTCTGAGGCACCTTGGCCAACAGCCACAGCCAACCAAGAACCATGTGAGTGAGACCATCCTGGACTAGGTAGCCCTGGACTGGCCTGCTATGTGAAACCAAACACGCAAATGAGTTCAGAGGATACTTCAGCTGTTCCTAATTTGCCAATCCATAGAATAGAGAGCCAATAATTTTTTTTAAGGCACCGAATAAGGGGTTGTTTATTATGAAGTAATAAGTAACTGGTACGTTTGCTAAGAGGGAGACCACATACCTTGTCCCATTCTTTTGTTTCTCATTGTTCCAAGTGAGACATTTAAACATAAGAATAAATGCTTGTTCCTCTAACCATTGAGTTTTGAGTGGTTTGTAACAAAGCATTATTATGGTAGTAGTTGACTAAGATCTTAGTTTTAGCAAGAGCTTATGTAAATTTTCTTGAGGAAACATACGTTGAATTGACACAACCTACTAGAGTCTCTATGTTCAGAGTACTACCTTCAACACCTGTTAGATTGGGAAGAAAAATGTGGTGGCATGTAGAAAATACCAAAAAGAAAAGAAAAAAGGACAAAGATTCTCCTTTTGAGCTGTTTCTACCCGTATATAAGTAAAACTCCAGTCTTCTGAGCATTTTCTTCATTTTTGACATACTCAAGTACCAATACAGCTATTGATTGTTTAATATATTTTAGTTGATTTAATAATTAAACAGAGGCTATGTATTTTAGTCTTCTTAGAGTCATATATCTATAAAAGAAAAAATGTATATAAAAATTAGAATATTGGGCCGGGTGCAGTGGCTCACGCCTGTAATCCCAGCACTTTGGGAGGCTGAGGTGGGTATATCAGAAGGTCAAGAGATTGAGACCATCCTAGCCAACATGGTGAAACCCCGTCTCTACTAAAAATACAAAAGTTAGCTGGAAGTGGTGGCATGGGCCTGTAGTCCCAGCTACTTGGGAGGCTGAGGCAGGAGAATCGCTTGAACCCAGGAGGCGGAGGTTGCAGTGAGCCAAGATCACGGCACTGCACTCCAGCATGGTGACAGGGCAAGACTCAGTCTATATATATATACACACACCTATTGAAAGAGGTCCATCTACTTATCACTTAAATTATTTCAAAAGCCAATTTGTGGTATACTGAACTTAGAAGTTACTCTTCCCCAAAGGAGCTCCCCAATTGTCAAGTGTTACTTCCTTTGAAAGAGCAATAAGAACACCCCAAAGCCTGCCCCCCATGGTCTGTTTCTCCATCATCTTCTGGGCAAAGTCCATAACATTGCTTGTGACATCAAGGCTTACTTCGGTTCACTCAGAACTGGGTTTATTGTTCTTTAGGGGGTAACTTCTTAGTTGCTATCACTGCAATCAAGTGATCTTAGAAGCAAATTGCCACTCATGTGCACACTTGAGAGTGTCACAATAGATATATTAATGTCCTGTCCTTGATTTTGATACCATATCCACTGTGGATGGCAGCTGATTATGGATAGAACATTGTGGCAAAGGCGGTGATCTTCAGATGATGAAACTGAATGTTGGAGAGTCTGAGATTACCAGCCCCCAAAACTGTCACCTCACAAGGCCAAGCAGTGAAAAATAAAGAAAATAAGAAAAATAAATAAACTCTCTAAAAAGAAGAGTTTAGATGAAGGAAGATGTTTACTATGAAGACACTTCCAAAAAACAGAAACTTAGTGACTGAGAGGCTCAATGGTTAAGGTTTTGGTTCAATTCTCGGTTCTGATAATTATTAATTTTGTAACTTTGAGTAAGTTCACTGTACTTTCATATCGCTCTGACTGCTCATCTATAAAATGGGGAAAATAATAGCTGTTATCTCCCTCACAAAGTTGCTGTGAAGACTGAAGGAAAACATACAAGCAAAACATTTAGCACATTCCTAGCACAAAGGAGGTGCTCCATAAAAAGTGGTTATTTTTATTATTACCAATATTTTATTTTGATACTATTATGACATCAAACAAAAGCTCCTGGAATTAGAATAAATGGACAGGACAATTAAGGCAAGCAGGAGGCAGCATCCGCAAAGATAAATGTGGTCCATGCGCCACAGTTGTTAACACACCTCTTCTCTGTGTTTAGATCTGAGTGAAGGCTGCTGCATGGCCATGACTGGGTATGGCTGTGCTGGTGATGACTCACCATGGAGTAGGATATGGGTAATAAGAGGAAGTCATGCTCCTGAGACAGCTCCCAGGACGGAGGTTGCTTGGCTTTCAGGAGGCAGCTGAGTAGGAATGGTGGACCCGGCAGCTGTGCTGCCCTATCCCTGTGGCTGGCTCAGCTTCTCTGACAGGGAGAGAACCTAAGTCTACGCTGTGGTGGCTGTCCATAGCGGAATGTCACAGAACACACTCTTTCTTCAACTTTTTCTTCTCTAATCTAAGTGGTCTCCGTTATCATTTTCCCAGGGAAACATGAGCTCAGGGGATTTGATTGACAGAAAAGGAGTGAGGAAGGGAATATGTGTGAAGGAAGCTAAAAGCCCATGGGGAGAGTACTGGACTTTCTGTGGAAGGGAAGTTTGAAGACGAGGCACCATCAGGATGTACCCACACAGACCAAACACCTCTAGAATCCTGAGTCAGCATCTTCCCCTCATGCTGATTCCTACTCCCTGCCTCAACCAAAATTCCATTGTTCGCTGGCATTACTATTCCCCTAGTCATGCAGAAATGCAACTTGGAGCTCCTCTGTGGCTCTATTATAAACCCCTCCTCCATTCAACCCATTACCATGACTTTATTCCATACAGTTTTTCTTTCTACGCACTTCCCTCCCCTCTGCCATCCCGCTGCCTTCATCACTCCTGCAACACCAAACTAACCACTCTGTTTCTTGTCTTTATCCAATCCGTCCAGATCCCCAGTACCACACCAGCGTTTCTTAGATATTATTGTGTCTTGCCACACCTTTCCTCAAAAGCCTTATTTTCCCCAATGCTTTCTTTTCTAATGTATGAAGTTCTGACTTTTCATTATGACTTTCATGATTCCCCACCAGCTGGCTCCAGGGGGCACAATGGCTTTACTCCACTTCTCCATACCCACCCTCATCCCAGCAAGTGCACCATGGCCCTGGCACAGTGCTGATGGAATCTGAAAATATCGCCAGGAAATCATTTGCAAGACTATCCTAATAAATTACATTTTTTTTTTCCTGGAATGGGGAAACAAGGGACAAAGGGTGAAACACTTTCCCCAAAAAATGTGCTTGCCTCACTGAGACCACAGGTAAGGGCTTAATATGATGTGAGAAAGAGGATTTCTAACTTGGAATGTAATTCATTTCCTTGAATATTTAGAAAGCCTCTTGGATGGGCAGGAATGAAAACCAGACACTGTACCTGCCATGACATAGTTTTCAATCAATAAGGAGATGAAGAGGCAAGCTACCAGTGTAACAGAAAGCAGAATGAAAGAAAGAGGGACTCAGTAAAGCCTTGTTCTTTTGTTGAAGGCATGAGATCCTATGAGGTAGGCATGGGCAAGTATTACCTTCATTTTCCAGATGACAAAACTTGCTTACCTGCCCCAGAGTTTAAGTGGCTTGCTTATTGTCACAGAGCTAATAATTAGCAGATTAGGGTCTCCTAGCTGGGTGATCTTTTGAATGCATGCCTCTGCCAGCAGCCAGCAGAGCTATGAAACACCGAAAGAAATAATTAAGCCTGCTTGGGAACAGTGTGAACGGGCATGGAGCTGGGAGGTCTCCTGGGAAAGGTGGCATTTGACCTGGGAATTGATGAATCCCAGAAAAGCCAATCAGCGAGGTGTGAAAACAAAACTAAAATGGAGACTGGGCCTGAAAAATTCCCAGGCAGACAAAGCCGAAGACCTTAAAAATAGCCAGGTTCTTACTAAAACTACAAACATAAGTGAAACTTAACTTGGGTCAATTTCCGATAAATGCTTATGACAGAAATAACAATTTAACCCCAGCCGATGATAAGTAGTCAACTAACATATGATTATGTGACTAGGGACTTTCCAAAAAGTTACTTTAAAAAGGCAATTATGTAACTGCAAACCAGTCAAATAATGTTTTATTTTGCTTCTGTAACTTCCCAGTAAATGCTTGCCTCTGACACTTTGTCATCGCAACACTAAACTTTTGTCAGTCTGGTGCTGCCCAATTCATGAATTGCTTCTTACTTAAATAAACTCTTTAAAATTTTACTGTGCCTCATATTTTTTAATAGAGAAGAAAGGAGAGAAGGAAGAATATTTTAGAAATAAAGGAACTTCACGGGCAGAGTCACAGTGCGAGACAAGAGGAGCAGACCAAGGGCAAGATTGCTGGGGGAGTGAGGACTCCCTCCCTCTTCTCCCCTGAGAAGCTGAGATAAAGGGGGAGGAGAAACCTGGGTGCCCCCCACTGATAAGCAGGCTCCACCCAGAGGCCAGTCCTGTGTGTCTGGGGACAAGGGGAAAGAGCAGCAGAGGTGTCCCTTCTCCAAGATCAAGGAACTGGGGTGGGGACAGAAGGGGGACCGTTTCCTGGACCCCAGTCCTCCGGATCAGCACCTAGAGTGGAACCAGGAACGATTCTGGAGCCACAGAGGATAGACAGACGGTAAGTCCCCTTTTGGAGTCAGAGGCCTTGGGTGGGGTGTGAGGGTGACTGTGTGCAAATGTCCTGCCCCCACTGCAGGGGAGGGAACCTGAGGCTTACAGAGTAGAAAGGGGGAGAGAGAGGGAGGTAATGGGAGAGGGAGCGAGAAATGGCACATCCAGGGGACAGGTTCATTCTGAAGCCCATCTGGGAAGACTGCCCTGAGATAAAAATATGTGTGTGGGGGCAGGGCGGGCAGCGAGGGTAACAAAATGGCCTGAGAAAACTCTCTTCAATGCACCGTTTCCTGCACCAGCCTCTCTCTCCTCCTTCTCCCTCCACTCACTTCAGGAAGGTGGGGACCAAAGTGAGGAAGAGCCGAGGGAACCCAGCCAGGCAGGTGGAATGGGGACTCTCTGGAGCCAAGAGGTAAGTGGCCTCCTCTCCTAGGGCTGGAATACGCTGATGTTGTCACTCTGGGCTCTAAAATCCCACAAACATTCATCCCCTAACTGTCTGCTTCATCCTCACCCAAAACAGTTGACATGTTTTCTCATCTTCCAGGAGTTAAAGTAGGACTGGGTTTAGGAAGAGTTGGGATAATTATTTCTGTATAAAGTGACTATAACACTAACAGATGCATTCTCTCTCCCCTCTCCTCCTCCTCTTCCCATCCCTGTCTCTCAATCCCCTCCACCTTTTATCTTTCACCTCTTGGTTCCTCCCACAGAGCACTCCAGAGGAGAGGCTGCCCATGGAAGGGAGCAGGCCATGGGCAGTGGCCAAGCGGGTGCTGACAGCTATCCAGGTTTTGGGCCTGCTTCTTTGTTTTTCTGTGCTTTTGTTCTACATCTTCCAGAACTGTGGCCCTCGTAAGCAAGATCCCAGACACCCTAACCCAGTCAGCCCTCGCCCAGCCCTGGCACCTGGGCCCAGTCCCTGCTCCTGGGGCTTCTGTGCTCCCTGACCCTTGGGGTCCCCATGGTTCTTCCTCCCTGCATCCTAACCATTTCTTTTTCATCAGCTTCCCGCTTAGTTACTCACCTGATGTTCTTTGCCTAGCCCCTTGGGAGAGCCCTGGTCTTTTTGCCTCTTCTTTCCCAGCTCTGAGCTTTTCCCCACAGGCCCCTGTGAGACATCTGTGTGTTTGGATCTCCGGGATCATTACCTGGCCTCTGGGAACACAAGTGTGGCCCCCTGCACCGACTTCTTTGGCTTTGCCTGTGGAAGGGTCAAAGGGACCTATAATTCTTTTCAGGAGCTTGCCACAAAGAACAAAAACCGACTTCGGAGAATACTGGGTAAGGAAAGCAGGGTAGAAGATGCTCTGTGCAAGTGGGTGCCTAGAATGACCATGACTACTCCAAACCCTGTGTAGTTGTGGAACAACTGGTTTGTGCCATCCCAGGTGGGATTATATGGATGGATGATTGGAGATGATGGGGGAGTAAAAGAGGTAGGACGGCGGGAGCTGCCTGGATTTGCTCCTCTCTCACTGTTTCCTGTTGCCTTACCTTGGGTACCCTTCTTCCATTTCTCTTGGTCCCTCTCTGCATTTTTTTCTTTATCTGATTTCCATCTTCTTTGCTTCTCCATGTATCCATAATTACTCCATTCTCTCCAACTTGTCCCTTTTAGCAAGCTCCATCTTTGTTGCTTCCTCCAAATGTTCAGTTTCTATCCTATGCATGGTGTCTTCCTCCACAAGCATCTCCTCAGCACCTCCTGCATTTCAATTCTTTTGTCTGTCACTCTCATTCTCTAACCTCCAAAACCTCTAGTCTCCCAATGCCTCCTTTTCAACGTTATCCTCTCCCTCTCACCATGCCAAAGCTCCCCTCTCTCAAAATGACCTCTTGCTTCTTGCTTCTCCTTTGAAACCTTGGACCATGGCAAGCAAGTTGATCTGGAACAAGTGGGATGATAGAGATGGATGACTGGAGATGATGGATGATGGTGGAATGAAAGGGGTAGGATGGTGAGGTGGGAAGTGAGAGAGGGCTTCATCACTGTGCATAAGAGAAAAAGCGGGTAAGTACAAAGGATATGTTGGAAGAATAGGAGAGCTGAGTTAATTGGCAGTGGAAGTAAAGTTCCTGCAGATGGGGGCTGGAGAGGAAAACTGCCAGGACTGAGAGGAAAACCAGAAGGATACACTGTAACTGTGTAGGAGGCTGGAAGTGCATCCCAGGAAGTTGGTAGATGGTGATGAGGATTTGGGAATAAGAACATATAAGATAGGCATGCGTTTCCAGTGCAAGGGAACCTAAAGAATGTGTTGACACTATCAATTAGAATCTGGGAAAAATAATGCACCCCTCTGCCCCCCTTTTCTGATGGGGAAAGAGTGGGAGGTGGACTCTCTTTGGGTAGATGGATACTTTCAGGGAAGGCTCAGAAATAAAAAGAAAAAATATGCTCAGGATAAATTCTATTGCCTACAGTGGGATGAATAGATTTCAGGGGGACTGAGGGTGGAAAGAGTGTTAGACATTAGAGGGTGGATGATTCGGAGAGACCTGCATTTGATTATTGTAGTGTAAGATCAATGGATGGGAAGTCTGGACTAGGAGAGTCCTCTCCTGTTTCTTCTCTTTGCTAAACCTTTCCTTGTGAGTTTTCTTCTCTCCAATTCCTTAAAGTTTTCTAGTTCCCTGAATTTGTCTAATTTCTTCAGTCATTTCTTTCTTTCCTATCTTTCATTTCTCTCTTTTATCCTTTGCCCATATCCCACTTATTGCTACCTTTCTCTTTTCGTCCCTGTCTTTTCCTTCTTGATTTCTTTCCCACATTTCTTTTATTTTCCATATTGTCTTCTTCTCCTCATTCTCTTTCCCTGCTTTCATCATTTCATCAAGTTGGTCTATCCCAAATTGGGCAGTGCTCTCATCCTTCTTATTTTCCTCATCTCTATTCCTCCCCCTCCTTCCATCTTCTGTGGGAATCTTTCTTTCCTGTAAGCTCCCTGTCTCCCACCCTCCCTCTTTGCCTCTATACCAGTTGCCACTCCTTTAATTCTCCTGCCGACACAAAGAGTCAAACTCTGTAAAATATTTGAAAAGATTTATTTTGAGCCAAATATGAGTGACAATGGCCTGTGATACAGCCCTCAGGAGATCCTGAGAACATGTGCCCAAGGTGGCCGGGGCACAGCTTGTTTTTATACATTTTAGAGAGGCACGAGACATCAATCAAATACATTTAAGAAATACATTGGTTTGGTCCAGAAAGGTGGAACAACTCAAAGGGGCAGGGGTGGCTTACAGCCTATGGGTGAATTTAAACATTTCCGGGTTGACAGTTGAGTTTGTCTAAAGATCTGGGATAGATAGAAAGGAAATGTTCAGGGTAAGATAAAGATTGTGGAGACCAAAGTTCTTTTGAAGTCTTATAGTGGCTGCCCTTAGAGACAATAGGTGACAAGTGTTTCCTGTTCAGATCTTAGTTAATCAAAAGATCTATCTATATTAACAGAGATATGTTAATAGCTAATAGAGATTCTTTATAGATGCAAATTTTCCTCCACAAAGAACAGCTTTGTAGGGTCATTTCAAAATATGGCAAAGAAACATGTTTTGGGGTAAAATATTTTTATTTTCTTCTTTGTCTCATAATGTTATGCCAGAATCAGGTTGGAAAGTAAATCATGTTACATGGGGTTAAATAAAACCCATCTGATGAGAACTTATGATATAGGGCATGACTCCCCAGACCCCTTTGATAGGAATTTGGGCAAGATAAAAATAAAATCAGAGTTTAGTCCTCACTCCCATGCTTCCTTTCTAGAGGCCCGGAATTCCTGGTACTCAGGCTCTGGGGAGGAGAAAGCCTTCCAGTTCTACAACTCCTGCATGGATACACGTGCTATTGAAGCTGCAGGGACTGGTCCCCTCAGACAAGTTATTGAGGAGGTGAGAAAAGCTGGGATACTAACTTTTCTGGACACATAACATGTGGGACCAATGCATGCTTAGGGCTGCCATTTTTTTTCCTAGGGGGTGGATCTTCTTCCTAGGGCCCCCCAGGTTCTAGGAGGGAGATGGAGATGGAAATGGTTATGCCCTGTGAAAATATCAGGACCTTGGGAGAAGGCAGATAAAAAAGGACAGATGTGGCGCCCTAGAGGAATCAAGGCACCCAGGGCAGAGGTCAGGCAGTAGCAGCTGTGTAAGAGACGACCAAGACAATGAGGGATGGGCTCCACAGATCCTATGCTCAGCCCTTTCTCTCTGCTTTAAAGCTTGGAGGCTGGCGCATCTCTGGTAACTGGACTTCCTTAAACTTTAACCGAACACTGAGACTTCTCATGAGTCAGTATGGCCATTTCCCTTTCTTCAGAGCCTACCTGGGACCTCATCCTGCCTCGCCACACACACCAGTCATCCAGGTGAGGGATGCACTGGCAAAGATACAGTTGGACCTGGCCTGACTCCATCTCTAGTCAATCATCCCTTAGAGGAAGGTTGCAGGTTGGGAAGAGAGGACACCTGTGTGATATAGGAAACAACCCAACCTTAAGGGAAAATTATTGATATGAAAGTCAGGGACATTAGCTGGGGGTGGGAGATGGAGCAGCAGAGCCAGTGCTGGGAAGATAGGAGTAGGCCTGGTCTTTCTTACTGTTAATCTGGATTAATCTCAGAGCCCCTTAACTAGTCCTCCTATCTCTAGGATTGCTCTCATTTTATTTACTCTTTATTTTTACTAGAGGGAACTTTTCTAAACCAAGGGCTAACTATACTACTGTCTGTATTTAAATGCTTGTCAATGACCCAGTGGCTTGCCAGGTCATCAGAATCTAGTCCCTAATCTTTAGTAAAGCTTTGCAAGCACCTTGTGATCTGACCCCTACACACTTCTCCAGCCTTATCTCCTGTACATTCCTTCTCTCCCTTATCCCCAAGCCATGCTGACTCACTGCTACTTCCAGGAATATTTCTTAGTTCTTTGCCTATGCTGCTCCCTGTGCCTCCAACCATCCCCCACACTGAACCTGGAAAACTTACATGTTTTTCAAATGTTGGCTTTATTATCTCTTCCAGGAAGTCTTCACCGACACCCTGGTTATGAGTTAGATGAAGCCTTTCTCTCGCTTTTCTCATTTCCTCATGCTCTCAGCATTTATCACTCTGTGTTGAACATTGTGAGCCTCCTTAGAAAAGGACCATGCTTTATTTGCCTTTGTTCCTTAGGACCTAGCACAGGGCCAGGCAGCTAGAGGCTTTTGCCAGGTATATGTTGAGTGAGTAACTAAATAAAAACACTGGAGCTGTCACTATTGTGGTTAATGTAATGCTATCTGCATATTTGGACCCTACTGTCAAAAGAGCCACAAAATTACTAGAGGATAAGTACAAAAGAATTGATTATCATTATGAGGTGTTCTAAAATTCAGTTCTAAACAGTGTGCTCAGGAGTTTAACTGATATAGTCTTTGGGGGCCAGTAAAGATCTGGTTAAGAAGAGGCCCAGAGAGGAGAGAATGAGAGAAGGCGAACTAAGCAAGCCTTGAAACATGGTTAATTCACACAAGTGGAGGTGAAGCTATGGGGTGTTGGAAATCCTGAGCCAGGGGGAGGACCTGGAATGATGTGATTCCTCCATGGGGTCAGTGAGGAGGCTGGTCTATTAACTGAGGATTTGGGAGGCAGAGTGGGGTGCAGTGGGAGGTAAAAGTGAGACTGAAGACGTAAGATTGAGCCTGATTATAAAAAAAAAAAAAAACAGAGGTGAAACACTTGACATAATAGGGAAAAAAAAAAAAAAAAAAAGAGCTACTGAGGCCATCCAGCTGTTAGGACAATTGTGCATAGAGCAAATATTTTGATGGTTGTGCATAGTCAGCAGTTTTGAATGTCAGTCTGGGGGTGTCGAGGAAACTAAACGAGCATTTTTTGAGGCCCTGAGATAGAGGTAGAAACGGAAAGGAAGAGCCAGGCACAAGGATTTAGGCAACTTCACCAAAGTGATGATAGTCCATGCTGTTTCTAGAGGATTTGGTGATTGATTGGATATAAATAAAGAAAGTGGGGGATTACACAATGATCCCATTGTTTTGATTTAGTGTGAGTGGGAGGAGGGTGGTTATCATCAATGTGAGCCTAGATAGTCTCTTGGGTTAAAAGCAGGTAGGAAGGATGGACTACAGAAGGAGAACTTCAAAGACTGAGGGCAGAAGGGAGCCAGGGAAGAGTGAGTACAGTTGGAGAGATGGGAGCTAGACCAGTATGGTGGGCCACAAAGGAAAGTAAAGGAGCTTCAGGAAGGAGGGGTCAGCTCAGAGAACAAGGAATGAGAAGACACCCTTGGATACCTAGAGATACTTTCCAAACAGTTATGGCAGTGCACACAGACTGTACGGAGCTTAGGAAGAAGGTAAGAAAGTGGAAACAGTGGGCATAGATGCTTTTTTGTTCCTTAAACTGTGGACATACAATGTAGCAAAAGGGTCAAGTGAAAGTTTTTTTCAAGACAGAAGGAAAAGTATATGGCTCAAGATATTGAAGAAGGGATATTGAAATTGGAGAAGTAAAGGGAAAGGGTAGAAGCAAAGATCTTCAGAATAGAATCAAGGATTCATCAGGGCCAGACTAAGATGAAATATACGTGGTACTTACCTGGGGTGCTAATTTAAGAAGGTCCCCAAAACTCAGTATCATGATAAATAGCATTTTAATACACATTCCTAAAAAATCAAAATCAATGCAACAATACACGATGAACCAAAATATCAAACTTTTCTTCATTATGAATTTTTTGACAAAAGATTATGCTTTTTTCCCCAAAATGGAACAAAATTCTATGTGAATCATTTTGAAAATACTAATGATTTTTCTTTTCAAAATGAATCAAAAATACACTGAGGACTTCTCTTGAACACAACATGATTCTTTTCAAAATTGACTAAAAGTATGTTTTTTGGGGGAAAAAAGTCCATGATAAGCAAAGTTTTGAGATTTTATTTATCATACATTTTTGGTAGTAATTTTTTTTTTTTAAAAAAATAATTAAGTATTAATCTTGATTACTGAGTTTTTTTTAAAAAAAGAGTTTATTTGAGCAAAGACTGATTTGTGAATTGGGCAGCATCCTGAAGGAGTAGAGGTTCAGAGAGCTCCACCCAACAATGCAGGCAGGCAGTATTTATAGAAAGAGGAAGTGACACCCAGAAACAACTTGATTGGTTACAGCTTAGCAATTGTCTTTAATGCGCATGGTCTGATCACTTGACAGCCTATGGTTGCCTGAAGATCAGCTGCTATGGCTGGCTGAGATGGAGCTACCTATTGCAAGAATATACTCCTAAGTTAGGTTGCAGTTTGATTACTGAGTTTTTAGTGCATCTTAGATTTTGTACCTGGGACAAGTTCCTCACCTCACTCACCCTGGCCTTGTTCCTGAGACAAAGAATAGCTCCTTGTAGGATGCTGATTATTATGCTTCTGCCTTGCTTGGCACACCCACATTGGTTGTAATACTCACCGTCTCTTCCCATTCTCACATCTGGACTCTTCTTCTCTTGCCCCTTAACCCCTAATCCCTTCCTTTCTTTGTACTCTTGCTTCTCTTCTGTCCAATCTTTATGTCCATCTCCCAAGGCCATCTCCCATGGTATATTCCCCACCTCCCCACGCCTGCCCTCTCCATCTGCCATGCTCCCCACTTCTCTCCAGTCTCTCTTGTGTCCAGATAGACCAGCCAGAGTTTGATGTTCCCCTCAAGCAAGATCAGGAACAGAAGACCTATGCCCAGGTAAGATGGCACATGGACAAAGGCCCTGCCCTCTGAGGCCAGGAGAAAAGTGGGCACCTCTGGCACCTGTGACTGACATTTCCTTCCTCCAGATCTTTCGGGAATACCTGACTTACTTAAATCAGCTGGGAACCTTGCTGGGAGGAGACCCACACGAGGTGCAACAACACGCTTCCATGTCCCTCTCCATGACTTCACAGCTGTTCCAATTTCTGAGGCCCCTGGAGCAGCGGCGGGCACAGGGCAAGCTCTTCCAGATGGTCACTATCGACCAGCTCAAGGTGCCTGGAACTGGGGGCCAGAAGACTGTGGGCACAGGAACCTTCCTCCCAAACATTACCTCATTTCCTTCTTCCTCCTAGTGCCCTTAATTCCTTTTCATTCTGTCTCTGGCTCCATCTCCTCCTCCAATTAGCCTCTTTTCTTCTTTTTCTCACACCCAAGGGGAAGCCCTTTCCCCTTCCTTCTCTTTTCCTTCTCCCCCTCAGCTTTGTGTCCCTCCTCTAAGGAAATTGCCCCTGCCATCGACTGGTTGTCCTGCTTGCAAGCAACATTCACACCGATGTCCCTGAGCCCCTCTCAGTCCCTCGTGGTCCACGACGTGGAATATTTGAAAAACATGTCACAACTGGTGGAGGAGATGCTGCTAAACCAGAGGTTCGCCCCAGGTGGGATTGGGGAGATCATGGAAATGGAGGAGAGCCTGTGCACCATAGATCTTGGGGGCAGAGGAAACCTTGGGGAAGGCAGGCTGGTAAGGGCCTCCCAGGAAGATAAGAGGAACTTGCTACCTGTAGGGGCAGAGAAGCGTGGGGTGGGTGGCACAGAGAGGATGGAGGGATGTGTCTTGGGAGCACGAGTAAGGGAGGATACACACGACATGAAGAATGGAGGGTCAGCCAAGACACAGGGTCTGCTGAGAGTAGAACACCAGCCACTCAAGAGCCTCTGAGCTGTGGAAGATGCTGGAAGACCCAGACACAGAGGACAGTTGAGTGCATGTATGTCTTTTTAGCAGCTGAGGACTGTGGGCTGTAGGAGGAGGCACATGAGATGAGGAGATGAAGATGGTGAAGGCTGGGGGTGCTTAGGGGAAGAAAACAAGAGGAGGGGCCATTCCTCAGGTGTGGTGTGAGGATTCTGGAGCTCTTATGGGAAACAATGTCTAAGAGCATTTCTGCTAGTATCAGGAAATCAAGGGGGTGTTGGGGTTGGGGACATGAGAGAGTGGCTCTTTGTTAGGGTCTCTACCTCCCCTGATCCCTGGGTGGCTACCACCTGAAAGCAGTGGATTTCTTCCAAGGGCTTGGGCCTAAGGGCCTTCTTCATGGTGGCAGCAGCATCTAGAAATCCTTTTTGAGGGCGGTAGCTGCCCGTTCACATGGGAGTGAGGAGGCTTACATAAGGGTGCAATGCAGTCCTGGCAGGAGCATTGCCAGTGGAGCAGAGAGGAGTCACAGAAACCAGCTTACTTCTGCTTGCGAGATACATCTGAGGACAACCTGAGATACCTTGACTGTAGAAGTAGAATCTGTTTCATGACATGAGTCCAGACTCCATCTAGCCCAGGACTTTCTTTCCCTGTGATTTTGAAGGCTGCTTCTTCATCTAGTTTTTCTTACTAAGGAGCTAGATCCCACCCCAACCTACACCACGAAAAGCTCTTTTTGACTTGGGTGCATGTTAAAACAGTTATTAATACAGAGGAGAAGGGGCTGCCTTCAGGAGGATCAAGGTGACTTATACAAGGGGAGGCTCTTCTTGAGGCATCCCCAGATTCCTGGGGTATACGTGTGGGTCTCTTTTGTCTCCATAGGGACTTTCTGCAGAGCCACATGATCTTAGGGCTGGTGGAGACCCTTTCTCCAGCCCTAGACAGTCAATTCCAGAAGGCACGCAGAAAGCTCAGCCAGAAACTGCGGGAACTGACAGAGCAACCACCTATGGTGAGGAGAGGAGTGGGTGTATTTGCCCAGATACTCGAAAGGAGTATCTACTCTTTTGAGGGGTAAATGTTGGCATCTGTCTCTCAGGGAGGGAGCCACGATGGTAGATGCCCCTCCATGTCTTGGCTTTCCACAGAAGCAGGCAAGTTGGACAGACAAAGTTTAACTTGAAAACCAAGATACCATGTGCCAGACCTTCAGGCACACATCTCCCAGCCTGACTACCTCTCTGGCTTCTTGCTGGGTGTTTGAGCTCAGATATAAAACTCTGAAATTGTCAAGGACTGCCCTTTCTTTGTTATTACGCTTATACTATTTGCTCAGGATAACTTGGACTTAGAGCTTACAATTTATTAGGATGAGAGAGAGAGATGTTAAGCAGTGGCCTTCCTTAATGTCTAGTTGATTTTATGTTCAAACATGCTTCACAAAGATATCTGATATCCAGTGGGATCCATTGGGCCACATGTAGGCTTTGTGGCACAGATGTGGATATAGCTGAGGAGGGGCCTGGGTAGAAAATGCACTTCACTCACCAGAGTCTACTTATTACATAAGACGCAGAGAGGCTCCTTTGCTGAGAATCTTGAAATCCCAAGTTGGGTATATCCAAAAGCGAGCAGAAGAGTCTAGTACATTGGATATGTCCCAACCTCAGTGAAGGCCTCAGTTTAGTCTTAAAAATCACTGGATTTTTTTTCTCTTAGTAATTTGTGGGCCATTTCCCTGCCTTGGAGAAACTCTCTGCTTTGGCAACCTAAAATTGCTGTGGAATTCAGAGAAGGAAAAGGCATTCACTGGGACTGGAATGTAGTTATTGCTTATCAAGAGCTAATGATGCGCTAGACACTCTTTGAAAACCTTTAGATCTATTAGCTGATTTAATCTTTACAATTCCATGAGGTACCATGGGTGCCATTTTGTTCCTGTTTTAAAGATGAGGAAACAGAGGCACGAAAGTTAAGGAAGTTGCTCAGTTATGACAGTAAGTCAGTGAAGTGAGGATTTGAACCCTGGAAGCCTGGCTCCAGGGTCTGTGTTGTTTGCTCATTGTGCTAAAAAAGCAGTCTTCCTGAGGAGCATCACTTGGGTTGGAGAGTCGCCAAGAAGCTTCTGCCCAGCTTTTCTCTGGATTCAGATGAAGCAGACCAGAGCCCCAAGTTATCTTAATTGGGGTTCGTACAAAATCCTGGCAACAAACAGCTACCTATAAACGCCAGCACCATAGCCTCATGGCACTTCTTGGAGGTTGTAAGAGTGCTAATGTTGAGGCTCAGGCTTAAAGAATACAGAAGGCTTAGATGTCCTGAAGCCATTATCTTTTCTATTAGGACACGTAATTGTCCTTGGGCTTAAAAGCTGAATTAATCTCTGCCAACAAATAGTTGTGTGACCTTGGGGAAGCCACTTCCCCTTTCTGCGACAATAGTATAAAAGATGACACTTAATGATAATAGCTGATATACATGGAGTAGTCATTGTCTGTTAACACTTAGGACAGGTTATTTCGTTTAAATCTTCCAGAAACACTTGGAGGTTTACAATCCCTGTTTCTCAGATGCAAAAATAGGCTTAGAAAGGTCAAGAAACTTTCCCAAGACCACACAGCTCACAAGTAAATGAACAGACTCCAAAACAGATGTTTTGGCTCATAAAGTCATGTTTTTAACCACACACTGTACAGGATTGAGAAATAAGTAGGTGCTACAAACAAAGCTTAGAAAACTTTTTTATAAAGGGCAAGATAGTAAATACTGACTTTGTGATCCATAAATGGTTGGTGTTACAACTGCTCAACTCTGTCCCTGCAGTGCAAAAACAGCTATACACTAAGTAAATGGATAGATATGGCTGTGTTCGCAGGGGATCCTGATTTAGACAGCAGATATGGGGATCCTGATTTAGACAGCAGATATTTTTGGAGTTCCCGAGAGGGAGAGATCAGGGAGCATTTGAAGGATCAGTGGGATCTCTGTGCAGGAGGTGGAACCGACAAAAAGTTTAGAGAGAGGAAGAAGTTTTCTGGTGAAGAAAGGGGTATCATCTCATTGGGATAGGGCAGGAGGTAGGCTGGCTAAAACTTGGTGCAGAGTGAAGGATCCTCCTGGTGGCTCTGGCTGAGAGGAGAAGACTAGGCTTGCATGGCAGGCTGTGTCCACTGATGCCCCTGGAGCGTGCTCCGGGTGTTTGAGAATCAGCAAGGAAGCCAGGGCACCTGGATCAGAGTGATTAGGACAATAGTGGGGAGGGAATCAGAGCAGGAAGGAGAGAACCATACAAGGTCTGGTAGGTCACTGAAGGACTTTTGCTTCTCTCTCTATGAAATAGAGACATGCAGAGGGATTTATCTCATTTGTATTTTAAAAGAACATATTTTAAGGTTAGCAATGGGATGTCCTGATGATGAGTGATGTGAGAGGAAGAATGGAATCAAAGACATGACCTAGAGTTTGGCCTTGATATGATCAAAATGTTTGGTTCAATTCAGTGGCCATTAATTACCGACTTCTGATCATATTCTTTTGAATGAATTATACTCTATAGTGCCCTTATACAGAAGATTTCTAAATCTCATTATTGGACCATCTTTGGATGATTAGTTTTGAATAGAGTTATAGTCAATGAAAATGACTGTTAAGTCAGGTTTTCTTTTGTGAAATGTAGGAAGGTGGGTTTTGAGAAGTAAAAGCAGAACTTCACATTTGTGATGATTAAATGTGAATGATTTATATTCAGCCCAACATCTCAATTTATTCAGGTCTTCCAGCTTTGGATCATTTGCAGTTTTATTCAGTGTATCTTCATCCAGACTACTGTTTAGATCCTGAAGGGAGAAGGGCATTGGTCAGGTTATTGAAGACCTAGCTATGGATTTATGCATTCGTTTTTGTAACAAACATTTGTTGAGAACCTAGTGTACTTCAGGTACTTCTCCAGGCACTTGGAATGCAGCAATGAACAAAACAGACAAATAAATAACCCTGCCTTCAGCTGTATATCCTGGTGAAGGAAGAAAGGCAATAAACAAACTAATAAAATAATAAAATATGTTAGGTTGTGTTATGAAGGAAAGCAAAACAGGAAATGAGGAAAGGAAATGCTAAGTGAGTGGTAGTTAGGATTCTTAGTAGGAATGTCAGGGGGGAGGTCAAGTTAACTTGATATCATTCACTATTGATGTTTACTTATGATTTGGCCAGATGAGACTCCACTCTAATTGCACTGTCATTCAACATCAGTTTCTCTAATTCACTAGGACTCAATCTGTGTTTTCCAAGAATGGCTAAATCAAGATAATGCCAACAGAGTGGGGTAGTGCCTTAGAGTACTTGAAAGGTATTATTTCACCTGATCCCCAAACCTGTGAGGAAGGTAGACTAGATATTGTTTTCATTTTGACAACTGGTGTCACTGAATCACAGGAGTTTAAGTTAACAACTCAAACTTAGTAAGTGCTAATACTCTATTCAGTGGTAGGATGGTCATGGTGCTTGAGGATGTATTTCGTCTATAGATGTATTTCGTCTCATAGAATTTGTCCTGATTTGTATCATTTCTCAAAAACTATTTGTGGTTCTGAGGTTATACGTGCAACTTTTTTTTTTTGGTACCCTAAAATTAGTCCACGGAGTTTCATTATCTTGGGTTTGAAATATTTCTTCTATCGTTTATATTTTGGAGACTTTTTTTTCTCTAATTCTATTTCTCTCCTTCTCTCTCTCTCTGTAACTCTCCCTTTGCAGTCAATGTGGTATACACTACCATTCCACATCTTGAGAGACAGCTGTAGCAGTGGTCTGCAGTGGCGATTGTATTCTCCAGCAGTCAGGTCCCATGGCAAAGCATGTTGGAGAAATGATCAGGCTCCAGCAAAGGGCATCAGGAAACAAATCAAGAACAGGAGGGGTGAGCAGGGTAGGCAGATCCACACTTCCAAGCTCAAGTGAGCTCTCTTTTGATGCTGGTTGCTGCTCCAGGTGTAGCAATTGTCTGATAAGAGGTATTCCTGGAGCCAAGCTTGTCCAGCAGATTGTGGCTGGCAGATTCTCAACCTGGCCCTATAATTGCTTTCAGACCCGGATTTCCTTTTAGTTCCTGTTGTTTCAGAGCTCCAACTCATGCAGCATAAGAAGAATCTGAGCCTCTTCTCTTTATCAGAGACAAGGTTGGCCAGGTGCGGTGGCTCATGCCTGTAATCCCAACACTTTGGGAGGCCAAGGCAGGTGGATCACCTGAGCCCAGGAGTTTGAGAGCAGCCTGGCCAACATGGCAAAACTCCATCTCTGGTGGTAGCCACCTGTAATCCTAGCTACTTGGGAGACTGAACAGAAGACTCACTTGAACCCGGGAGGTGAAGATTGCAGTGAGCCGAGATCGCACCACTGTTCTCCAGCCTGGGTCACAGAGTGAGACTCTGTTACAAAATAAAAATAAAAATAAAAATAAAAATAGACAAGGTTAGCAGACCTCAAGGTGCAACAGAACACAGATGTGGGCAGCCAGGCCTGCAGCAACCTCCAAAATGATAACCTCTTTAACTGGTGGGTTCAGAAGTTTCTCCTTCAGTGACTACCAGACTGGCCTCTTTGGTCTGTTTCCTCTAGTGGGATGCACATAAACCGCCTCCGTTCCCAGGACCAGCCTAGCTCCTGCAGAGAGAGTATTAGTGGCACCCTTCCTACCTTCCCTGTGGACAGGTCTTTGGGAAGTAAAAAAATCACAGGAATAAAGTTTTGAGGCTTCATCCTGCCTAACCCAAATTAGCATATTAGCTGGTATTTATCAGTTCCAGCTCAGCTTTCCCTCAGGCCAGCTACCTCCTCCTGCCCCTGGGTTCCTTGAGTGTGTGTCTCCATTTACCCTGTGTCATCTCTGGGTTTACACCTTGGTCAATTTTTCAAAGCCATTCAAGCCTACCGCCAAGACCTTCTCAGCGTCTGTCTCTTATGTTTCTCATTCTCGAGGTCCTCAGCTGGCACTGCCCTCTTGGGTGTTTGTCCATGGCCTCCTGCCTCTGCAGTGAAAGCCCTCCACCTTCCTGTTCTATTCTCTCCTCTCTGACTTGGCTGGAAGTCTTCCAGCTCTATGAATTTATACAATGAGTCTTGTCTTGTGTCCTCTTTTCCTAGCAAACAATATGGCATCTAAAACCCAGTTCTACTCTGATAATTTTCTTCTTTATAAGATGCTACAGTATAATACACCATGCCCACCTGGAGAGAGGATAAGGGTGATGGTGGTAGAATAGAATTTCCATCTGCAATCTCCGTTTTGAGCAAAGAAGCATGGAGGATGGGAATCATTGCTGGGACCCTGGAGTAGAGTGGTTGGGAGGGGTTGGGGGGGAACAGAGGGAACATCAGATTGCCGAGGTATGAGGTTTGGGTTCTCATCTTCTTCCCAGGAGCCTCTTGGTCCCCCAGAATGATGCCTCCTAGAGGCCTTGCTGTCAAATTCAATAGGCAATAACATGAAGGATTTGCTCAGCCAGGCTCATGAGACCAGCTCTGAGGAAGATGTGCTTATTTTGTACTGAGTGGTGATGTGCGTCACCCTAAGGGGTAGTAAACTGAGATGAATCCCAGAAAGTCCCGTCAAAAAAGCACCCTCTGCGAATGAAGATCTAGTGAAGACTGGGGAGACAGATGAGGAAAGAGCCCTGAACAGGAGCCACTCATTCCAACTTTGTCTCCATAGCGCGCCCGCCCGCGATGGATGAAGTGCGTGGAGGACACAGGCACGTTCTTCGAGCCCACACTGGCGGCTTTGTTTGTTCGTGAGGCCTTTGACCCGAGCACCCGAAGTGCTGTATGTGAGAGCTCTTCCCAGCCCACATCCCTCCACCCCTTCCCACCCAACCCAGCCTTCCCTCATTCTATCAACTTTGACTTTCTCAGTGGTATGTGTGATTGGGGAATCAGGCAGTCAGAGAGAAGGGCCACTGAGAGATGGAACCCAAAGGCCTTCTCCATCCCTGGGGTGGAAACAGTTCAGCTTTAGGCCACAGAGTCTCCATGACATGCTCTCACTTGGACAAATCACCCAACTTTCCTCGTCTTGTGTTTCTTCAACCATCAAATGAGAAAATCGAGCCAGGCGCGGTGGCTCATGCCTGTAATCCAAGCACTTTGGGAGGCTGAAGTGGGTGGATCACCTGAGGTCAGGAGTTTGAGACCAGCCTGACCAACATAGAGAACCCCATCTCTACTAAAAATACAAAATTAGCTGGGTGTGGTGGTGCATGCCTATAATCCCAGCTACTCGGGAGGCTGAGGCAGGAGAATTGCTTGAACCCGGGAGGCGGAGGTGAGCAGAGATCATGCCATTGTACTCCAGCCTGGGCGACAAGAGTGAAAAAAAAAATCAAAAACAAAAACAAAGACAAAACAACAACAACTGAAAAAAAGGAAAATTGAACACTATCATCTCTAAGGCTCCTCCCTGTTATCTAAGATTTTTTTAACAACACATGACGTGACGTCAGAACGGATGACATAATCTTGCAGAGGGCAAATAAGTCAAATAAATCAACACTGAGTACTTTCTGAGTACCTACCACATGCCTGGGACTCCTTCAAGTGCTTTGCATGAACTACGTCATTTAGTTCCTGTTATTATCCTGATTTTATGCAAGAGGGAACTGAAGCAAAGAGAGGTTAAGTGACTTGCCCAAGGTCACACAGTTACTGGAAAGCAGAGACAGGGTTTGAACTCAGGCATTCTGATGTCAGAGCCCAGCCTCTTGATATTGCCTTTCATTTCCCTCCAAGAAAGGATTTACATGAGGTGGCGGGTGGCTGGGGAAGCAGTGAGTACACACTCAGGTTGTGAAGCCAGGGAGACTTGTGGGGGACTGAGCTGAAGAGCTCAGGAGGATGAGGAGAGGGAGTGGACACTAAAAATGATGGTGTGAAGATAAGGGCCCTGAGCCAGAGGAGAGAACGACAGCCCTCTCCTCCCTCTGCTTGCTGGGAGGTGTTCCTGCCCCCAGGAGTAAGGACACTGTCTTTCTCCCGCATCAGGCTACTATATCCCATGGAAAGGAACTATATCTCCCTGATGGCCCTCATGGATGGCCAGGCCCCACTTTCCCTTTGTGGGCTTGGCACTGCTTCCTTTCTCCACAGATCCTTTAGTTGCTTTAGTTGAGCTGCTGCTCAAGCAACAACTGCAGCACAGGCAGCTCCTTGGGGCCAAGGTCTTTTCCAAGGGTCTTTTCCAGGCTGAGGCCTCTTCTGATCCTGTTCCCCTGTCCCCGGACCTCACTCCCACAGGCCATGGAATTATTCACTGCGATCCGGGATGCCCTCATCACTCGCCTCAGAAACCTTCCCTGGATGAATGAGGAGACCCAGAACATGGCCCAGGACAAGGTCAGATCAGGCATCCTGGCTGGTATGGGAGCCTGTGCGGGGAATGGAGTATTGGACCAAGCGAGATGGGGACTGGAAGCAAGTGCCAAAGGCACCCCAGGCACAAGCTAAGTAGGGAAGGCACTGGGCTGCATACACACACTGGCAACAATGTGAGAGGCTTGGGAGGCAACAATGGGACAGAGCAACGAGTGGGAGAAATTCCCTCTGGTAGACTCAAAGAGTGTTCCTACCCCCTTCTGTGTCTCTTTCCAGGTTGCTCAACTGCAAGTGGAGATGGGGGCTTCAGAATGGGCCCTGAAGCCAGAGCTGGCCCGACAAGAATACAGAGATGTGGGTCCCTGTGTTTTCCAGCTCTTTCTCAGTCCTTGACTTCTCCTCACTTCTCTGACCATCCTGAGTCTTTGTTGGACACTCAGTTTTCCCTGGGTGACTCAGCCCTGTCCTTGCCCTGGTGCTGGCTGGGGTCGATGGGGGAATATCCACACTGGGTCTTGTTGGCAGAAGAATAGAATCTTTTCAGGTCCCAATGCATGTCCCCACACACATGCATGCATCCTGTGACTTGTCTGGGCGTGTTCATCTGTGTGCTGATCTGTGTAAAGCCTCTGTGTGCTGTGTGGTGATGCCACCGGGTTGCTGTCTCCTAATCCCTGGATGCCTGTGTGTCAGGGCTTGCCTGTTTTGGGTCAAATGGTCCCATTGGTGTATGTCAGCATGCATCTGTAGAAGTGTCTGTGTGCCCAAGTCACCTCCTGCCTCTTCCCCAGATACAACTTGGACCAAACTTCCTGCAGTCTGTCCTGAGCTGTGTCCGGTCCCTCCAAGCTAGAATTGTCCAGAGCTTCTTGCAGCCTTGCCCCCAACACAGGTATGAGTGCAAGGGAGGCACAGGCACTCCATCCCGGAGAGATCCATCCACGATTCGTAGGAAAGGAAGCCAGGGCTCAGGGCAGGCAGCCTGAATAGTAACGGCAGTTGGGAGGGACTGCGTAGGTCTCAGGGTGGCAGGGCAATATGTGGTGGGGGCTGGAGTTCACTTGTGCTCTTCCCACAGGTGGAAGGTGTCCCCTTGGGAGGTCAATGCTTACTATTCAATATCTGACCATGTGGTAGTCTTTCCAGCTGGACTCCTCCAACCCCCGTTCTTCCACCCTGGCTACCCCAGGTATGGGTCACTCTCTGAGGGTAGGTAGGGAGTTTCCCAAGAGGGGCTGACAGGTGTTATAATGAATGGGACTTACAGCTGGAGAATTGGAGTCAAAAATGCCAAAAGATTCTGGGGGTCAAACAAGCCCTTGTCTCCCTAGAGCTGTGAACTTCGGCGCTGCTGGCAGCATCATGGCCCACGAGCTGTTGCACATCTTCTACCAGCTCTGTGGGTAACAGGGGCCACTGGGAGGTGGGATTATAGGGAACCTAAGGGAAGGCCACAGGGGGGCCTGGAGGGGAAAGGGAGGTCATTTAAGATTTGAGGTGGGGCAGTCCTGGGAACTTTGCCATGCTCCTGGGAGCTGGGTCAGTTTGTGGTACCACCCACATCCTCACCTCGGCAGCACCAACCCTATGTTCTCTTGCCCTGTTTTCAATAGTGCTGCCTGGGGGGTGCCCAGCCTGTGACACCCATGCCCTCCAGGAAGCTCTCCTGTGCCTGAAACGCCATTATGCTGCCTTTCCATTACCCAGTGGAACCTGGGGGGGTGACTCCCTCACATTCTTGGAGAATGCTGCAGACGTGGGGGGGCTAGCCATTGCACTGCAGGTATGCAAGTGTCAAGGGCCACAATTTATGTGCACTGGCAGACTAGAAAACATGTGCTCAAGTTTTCCTGCCACCCTTCCTGATGCAGGTACAGTTGTATGGCTTTCTGCCCTTCACATCCTCCCTGAACAGACGGCAACCTGGGGATCCCCCTCCTACCCCAGAGATCTTCTGTTTTTAGGACATCTATAGGTCTTCTGGGAATTACTCTTTCTTCTGGCTCAGATCAACTTGTCAGTGCAGAGCCAGTGAGCAAGGGCCATGGGTTTTGGGTACTGTGTGGAGGGACTTACAAATGGCCACAGGTCTAGAGCCTGAGGGCCCTTCTCCACCCACCCCTACCCAGGCATACAGCAAGAGGCTGTTATGGCACCGTGGGGAGACCGTCCTGCCCCGCCTGGACCTCAGCCCCCAGCAGATCTTCTTTCGAAGCTATGCCCAGGTAGGTACAGCCAACTCCTGCCACAGCTTGCTTTATGTCAGTTTGAACGCCTTATTACTGAAGCTCATGGAACTCCCCTCCTTGGACACTCCGCCAAATACCCCAAACCCTCTGCTGCAGATGTCCTCACTGTCATCTTTTCTCATCCCTCCCTACCCCTTGGAATCACCCCTCAGATGACTACAGTTTCTTCTACCTAATTCAGCACCCCTGCAACTCCAAAGGTAGAAAAAACTCTACTCCCAGGTTCCCCGCAGGAGAGGAGACCAACTTTTTTCTCCTCTCACACCCCCAAAATGCAGATGCCTTAAAAATAAGCCTGTGGCTGGGCGCAGTGGCTCATGCCTGTAATCCTGGCACTTTGGGAGGCCGAGGCGGGTGGATCACTTGAGATCAGCATTTCAAGACCAGCCTGGCCAACATGGTGAAACCCTGTCTCTACAAAAAATACAAAACTTAGCTGGGCGTGGTGGCGGGCACCTGTAATCCCAGCTACTCGGGAGACTGAAGTACGAGAATCGCTTGAACCTGGGAGGCGGAGGTTGCAGTGAGCCAAGATCCTGCCACTGCACTCGAGGCTGGGCGATAGAGCAAGACTCAGTCTCAAAAAAAAAAAAAAAAGCCTGCGACAGGCTGACTGTATGCCACATTCCTCTTCAGACGCCTGACCTTAGGTATGGCGGCCACTTGACATCACCTCCTTAAGCACCCTCTGTTCCCTCAACAGACTCAGGTGCCAGGTCTTCAACACACTTAGATTAGACTTCACCCCAGAGCTCCTGTGCTAGACCCCACCTCTCGGTCACTGATAAATGGTATCATTATACAGCCCAGGCCCTCCTCCTGGACTACTATCACCAGATTAAGTGAACTATACATTTCAAATGCTCCATGTGGCCCTTGGAGCACTTGATCCCCTGTTTCCCTCTTTGTCTGCTGTCCCTGATCACCCCTTGTCACTAGGTCAGCCTTGTCTTGTGGACCCTCCTCCTTCAATGACCTCTCTTCCTGCTCAGGTGATGTGTAGGGAGCCCAGCCCCCAGGAATCTTACGACACTCACAGCCCTCCACACCTCCGAGTCCATGGGCCCCTCAGCAGCACCCCAGCCTTTGCCAGATATTTCTGCTGTGCACGTGGTACCCTCTTGAACCCCTCCAGCCGCTGCCAGCTCTGGTAACTTGGTTACCGAAGATACCACAGCACAGAAATATCGACCAACACCTCCCTGGTCACATCCACGGAATCAGAGCAAGATTTCCTTTCCACTTCTGTTCCAAAAATAAAAGCCGGCACTTGGCTTCTGCTTGTCTCTTAATGACTTGTTCCTGCTATGTTCTATGCCTAGAAGTCATTAACTATAGGGGAGAAAAATACCTGAAGTCAGAAAAGATAAGAGGGAGAAATGCCAAAAATATTTCGTGGACACAAGAAAAGGAAAAAATCAACAATTGGTGACCTGGTGGGTTTGAAGACCACCCAGTGGACCAAAGATTGGACAATAAAGCAGTCTAGCTGAAGACGAGAAGGGCTTGGATTAAGTATCAGAAAGCTGCTCCCAATTGTTCTCAGAATTTTATTATTATTTTATTGTCATTGCCTCCTGCCTCTAATCTGCTGTCCTGAACAAAACCAGGAGAGGTGTGGGAGAGAAGGATGTGAGTCTGCTGTCTCTGGCTCTGGGAGGTGAAACTCCGAACCTGGAGAGGCAGTCAGTCAGCACTGATGGCAATTGGTAACTCTGATGCTGAACCCTGAGGTACAGTGATGGTAATCGGAGGCAGAGAGCCACGCCTGCATCTTCTTTGGGAGTTGTGACCTGGAGCCCATAAGGGAGGGAGGGTCAGTAAGTGAGCATGAAGTAGAGATGGATATTTAGGAATGTCGGCCTCAATGGCCCTCCTAAGAAAATCATGACACTGGCCAAACTAAAGCAGAAGCCAAGGTGGAAAGAGGGCTTGTGAATAGCTGACGTCTTGGACGACTTGTCTTCTTCTTGCTGGGCCATGTCCACCACCTGCCACATCTCACCCACTGAGGAGGCCACAAAGTGCTCTTCGAACTGTTCTTGATTCTGGTCTGGAACAGGGGAAAAGGATGAGGACTGAGCCCTGACCCTGGCCTGAACCGGAAAGGAGAAGTTAGAATAGGAAAAACACGTTGAAGCCTAGGGCTGCAGTCCCAATTGCCCATATCCCTGGCCTTGACCAGAGAGGGGATGCTATTTCTAGAGGTTTTTTCTGCTCTGTGTTCAACCACAGCCGCAACTCACACACACACACACACACACACACACACACACACACACCCCATTGCTAAGGCTAGCTGCCTCCTCTAGGGTTTCAGCACTGGGGGAGTCAGGGGCCACCTTGAAGCATGACAAAAGCCAGCCAAATGCATCATGCTTACACACACAGAAGTTGCATGCAAGCTCCGCTGGCCCATGGTGTTCCTTGACACTATTATTTCACACGATAACCATCAGCAGCTGGAGTTACCCCCAATAAACCAGACCTATGTCAGGTCTCACCCTAGCCTCATCAGTGACCTGGGGCCCGGCTTCACACAGACCTGACCCTGAGCCTCCAGACTCTCCTATCTTTTTTTCTACCTGCCTGAAGAGGGTGTTTTCTCTGTCTGGCTCCTGTCTTCTTTTCTACCTACCTGCAGAGGGCGTTTTCTCTGTCCTGCTCCCATCTTTTTTTCCACCTACCTGCAAAGGGCGTTTTCTCTGTCTGGCTCCCATCTTTGGGGCCTGGGCTCCCATTCAGAGGCTTCACCTGCAGCAGCAGCAAGATGGGAACCAGGAACGCTGCCCTGCAGAGCTGGGAGGCCAGGGGAGGCATGAATCTGCCCACCCACTGCCTTCAGCCGCCCCCTGCTCCCAGTGACCAGCAGGATCCCTGCACCTCCTGCCCCATTCCTGTCCTGGCCCTTACCCCTTTCCAGAGGCATTCTCTCCCCTTCCCTTCCATAGGACCTCTGACTTCACATGTTCTGTGACATCACAGCCATGGGCCTGACCTTCATTCCGGCTCACTAGAGCATTCCATGGCAAGGCACAAGAATAGAGCACAGCCAAAGGCATGGCAGAGGCTTCCAAGATGAACACAGTGGGTCATCCTGTATTTAGTAACAGAAATGACTTAAGAGTTTGCAAGGTACATTCACATCCATTACACCATTAGATCCACGTAGCAACCAGGACTGCAAAATCATAGTGTTCTCATATCCATTATATGCATGAGGAAACTGAGGCTCAAGGAAAAAATGACTCTCTCACTCAAAATCACCCAAATATTAAGGGGCAGAAAAGGACTCTTGATTAACTTTTACTTTTAAATATGATATCTTCCCACTATTCCATGTGGCCTTTCTGTAACAAGAATGGTTTGCATAGGATGAGGCCCAGAACAGGCGTGCCAGCCAGGATTCTCAAGTCGTGGGCATGAACATGCTGCTCTACATGAAGCATGGGTCTGCCAGAAAATAAAGATGGGAGGAGCATAGGGCGAGGATGGGCAAGGGCACATGCTCTGTGTGTGTATAAAAGACAGAGACAGGGAAACAGAGACAGGCAGAGACAGGCAGAGATAGACAGAGACATAGAAAAAGAGAAAGAGACAGAGACAGGCAGAAACTGAGGGGTAGAGACAGAGAGAGAGAGAGACGTAGAGACAGAGAGACAGATGAAGAGAGAGTGATCAGAGAGAGAGAGAGACAGAGCAGGGTGCCTTGCAGCCAGTAGAACCCATTCACACCCTCTCTTCACCCTCCCCTGGTTTTCCCCCTTTTCTAGCCTTTGCCCTCTTGTACCACCAGGCTGAAACAGCCTCTTCTTTCACTTTACACCTTTCTGTACTCTTAGACAGAAAGAAAAGGTTGTTAGAGACTCATCTCCAACCTTATTGCTGGCGGAAGGAGTTAGAGTCTGCAGAGAAGCTGCAGTGTGGCAGGGAGTCTAGGATCCCAAATAACAGATCTGGAAGAGTCGTGCCTCAGTACCTGGATGTGCCTCCTGCCCATGAGCCTGGCGAGCACAGATCTGTTGGCAGCAACTGGCTGTGGGTAATCACCCCCAACTGCTTCTTGGGCAGAGATGGTTGGAGGGTTGTGAGTTAGGGAGACAGAATGAAGACCTGTTTTCAAAAACCAGCAACAGAGACGCGGGCCATGAGATGCAGGATGGCTGCTAAGACAGGTAAGAGGAGACTTCAGTCACTCCTGAACTCTCATAACCAGTTCACACTGCTCCTGCTCATCCATGCATACCAGACCTGAATGAAACACCACAGGCAGGTCCAAGGACACTGCGGAGACAGGCACCCTTTCCGCAAGAGCGAACTGCAGACAGAGACACACACAAGGAGATGCTTTCCCACAGAGGTTACTTGTGTCAGCAGACATGCCCACATGGATGCTCTCTCGCATACGGCAGTACCATCTCTTATACTTCCTGATGGTCCAAGCCAGATGACGAGGGACTGGGGAGTGGTACAGGAGGTCACTTGAAGGTGAGTAAGGAAAGATTCAAGTAGGCAGGTGACCCTGCTCACCCCTACCTTGAACCCATTGACCTGAGATCCAAAGAATGATGCTTGAATGGAAAAAACCATCACTAATCTCCTCCCTCCTGGCTATTTTTGGGGGAGGAGCCTCTTGGTTTCCTGGCAAAAAGAGAAGCCATCTCCCGCTCTGTGGGAATGAATGGGTGGGGTGGCTGGGGTGAGAATTGCCTCCCGGGCAGGCTTGAGTGGAAATAACTGAGTTGTTTCCATTACTTCCATTTCCTTACCAGCACCACCAGCCTGACACCACCCCCGCACCCAGTGTTGAAAGAGATAAATTCTTGCAGAAAACAGGGAATCCCTTAAATACTTTTTCTTATTACAAAAGTATAAAATACAGAAAAATACAAAACCCCCAAAAGGCTAATGATTCCACCATCCAGTGATAATCACTTTGTTTTTTTTGAGATGGAGTCTCGCTCTTGTTGCCCAGACTGGAGTGCAATGGCACGATCTCGGCTCACCCGCAACCTCTGCCTCCTGGGTCCAAGAGATTCTCCTGTCTCAGCCTCCCAAGTAGCTGGGATTACAGGCATGTGCCACCACACCCAGCTCATTTTGTATTTTTAGTAGAGATGGGGTTTCTTTCTGTTGGTCAGGCTGGTCTCGAACTCCCGACCTCAGGTGATCTGCCCGCCTCTACCTCCCAAAGTGCTGGGATTACAGGTGTGAGCCACTGCACCTGGCCACAATTAGTTTTAAGGTATATTACTTGAATCCTTTTCTTTTATTTATTTTCTTTTATTATTATTATTTTTTAGACGGAGTCTCTCATACTGTCGCCCAGGCTGGAGTGCAATGGTGCGATTTCGGCTCACTGCCACCCCCACCTCCTGGATTCAAGTGATTCTCCTGCCTCAGCCTTCTGAGTAGCTGGGATTACAGGTGGCTGCCACCTTGCCCAGCTAATTTTTTTTTTTAATTTAGTAGAGACGGGGTTTCACCATGTTGGCCAGGCTGGTCTCGAACTCCTGACCTCGTGATGCACCCACCTCGGCCTCCCAAAGTGCTGAGATGACAGGCATGAGCCACCACACCTGGCCCTGAATCCTTTTCCTAGATAGCTGTGGCCACGTGGGGTGGGAGTGTAATTCTTAAAAATGGAAATCTGTTTTTTTGGAATTATGTTTCCTCCTCCTCCTTACTATGTTAGAATAAGAGGTCAGGCTGCTTTGGTGTGAAGGGGTCTGGGACCTGACAGTGTAGTTTGGTGCCCCCAACCCAGTTCTCCCGGGTGCCTGGAGGCATTACTGACCATGCATCAGCAGCAGGGAAGCTGTTCTCTGAAGGAGAGAGTTTGCAGGCGTCCTCACTTGCAGAAAGCTGAGAGAGGCATGAAAAGAAAGGAGAGAAAAGGAAAAATAGAATGGTAATGTTGAATATCACAAGAGGAAGAAACAGTAGGGAGAGAGGGCCAGGAGAGAACGGGAGAGATTCCAAATCTCTGGTCTACCAGCTGGAACTGCGGGGGACACCATGGTCCTCACCCAGGCTACTTGTCCATGCCCTTCCCACTGGGGAGGACAAGGTAGGCAGAGAAGGGCAAGTGAGAGGGGGAAGGCCCAGGGATGGCGGTGGGAAGGGGAGGCCTGAGCACTGGGCCTCCCCTTTCTCTTCCCCAGACCCCTGGACAATGCCCTTGGCGGCAAGTCCCTGCACACCTGCTCTGTGCAGCTCAGACTGGGCCAGCCTCCTCCCCTGCTGGCCCCCCATGTCCCAACCCCCCTGCTCCAGGACCAGCTTTATGGGTTGTAGTTTCCTTGGCAGGTGCTCCTTTCCTGGCCTGCCTCTCTTATCAAGGCATCTACAACCCCCACCTCACCCTTATCACTCCCTCCATCTCCTTAGATTGGAAGTCACTCCACAAGGGCGTCACCCCCAGCGAGGCAGAAAAATGTCCCACAAATTGAGCCCTCCCCACTCCCAGTGAGAAAAGAATTCCACTGTATCTTTTTTTTTTTTTTTTTAACTTTTCCTTCTGGCTTTTAATAAGAAAAAGATCCAAATGTTCCCCCTTTGGAAACATCAATGAATATTAGCTCCTCTTAGTTTCCCTATTTACTTTCCTTTCAATTTTTTTCCTTCTCTAAAGGTTATTTGGTCCATCCCTCAATCTCGGGAGCAGATCTCTCTTTCTTACAACAAAAGAAGGGGGCAGTCCCCACTCTTCAAGACCCCCAGAGGGAGGGTCCCAGCGTATCCTCACACTGGTCTCTCACATCTTTATAGCCAAAAGATTCCCAAGAAGGAACAAGTTCTGGAGAGTGGTTTGGAGCTGAGATCTCAAGTTCATGGCCAGTTCCAGTCTCGCCACTAGCCATGGGGCTTGGGGCCAGCACACCCAAGAATTCTCACATAGAGAATTCTTCCTTGTTCTCATTTACCTGATAGGTCTATTGAGTGAATGCAATTCAATAATATTGATGTACCTCTTTGAAAACAATGAGAACATAAATACAAGCTATCATATACAGAAGTCCCCTCTTAACCTCAGGGGATACATTCCAAGATGCCCCAGTGGATGCCAGGAACCTTAGATAGCACCAAACCCTGTGTATACTATCTTTTCTCCTATATATACACACACATACCAACATATGATGAAATTTAATTTATAAATTAGGCATAGTTAAGAGTTTTAGGCCAGGCACAGTGGCTCACACCTGTAATCCCAGCACTTCAGGAGGCTGAGGCAAGCAGATCACCTGAGATCAGGAGTTCGAGAAAAAAATGGCCAACATGGTGAAACCCTGTCTCTACCAAAAATAAAAAAATTAGCCAGGCGTGATGGTGGGCACCTGTAATCTCAGCTACTAGGGAGACTGCAGAAGGAGAATAGCTTGAACCTGGAAGGTGGAGGTTTCAGTAAGCCGAGATCACACCATTGCTCTCCAGCCTGGGAGACAAAAGTGAAACTCTGTCCCAAAAAATAAAAGAGTTTAACAACAATAAAACAAAATAGAAAATTATAATAATATAAAGTTATGTGAATGCTCTCTTTCTCTCTCTCAAAATATGTTATAGTACTGTACCCACCTATTTTCCAACTGTGGCTGACCTTAGGTAACTGAACTGTAAGAGAGTGAAACTGTGGATAAGGGAAACTACTTAATATATAAAATATAATATAAAATATATAAAATTACACAACATTACTCATTCCTCCTGGTGTTTCATTCCTGGAAAGAGTCCCAAACGTGGAATCACGATTTCTTTGTCATCTACCTTTGCCCAGTTTCTGCTGTTCAACCTCCATAGTAACTCAGGGCCCCTGGGGGCTCCTCTGGCCTGCCTCCCCAGGTACAAGAGAGCCTGCTCGGTGATGCTCCGGGAAGCTGGCTGGTCATGGTCATGAAGAATTCTAAGAGAGAGGGGTTGGCCTGGGAAGTGGGGGACAGAAACCCTCCTTTGAGATGCAGGGTTGAGGACAGAGATGACAAGACACATAAAAGGGAAGCTCTGAGAAGAAGCCCGGGGGGTCTCTTGAGCCCACTTGTGGAAGGAGGATCAGCAGTGATTGAGTACTTGTGACACGTGCTTTACCGATGCTCCTGTGAGGCAGCATAGCTGTTACCCCAATTCCACAGGTTAGGAACTGAGACTGCGAAGTCTCACTAACTGTAAGGGATAAGAGTCAGGATTTGTACCAGGCTCTGACTCCTGAGCTGGAGGTCTTTACTTCCTCCTCTCCTTCATCCAACTAACCGCACACCTTGTTTGTGGACCCACCTTCCATCCCTTTTCTTTTCCGAATTCCTCTGCCCTACCCCTCAGCTTCTCCGGGTCTCAACTAACCCAGCCCACAGTTAGGAACCTTCTTTCCCCTCCTCCTTTTCTTTTCCAAGGTGGTTCTATGGCCCTGGGGCTCAGCTCTGGAAAGAGCTCCTCCCCCTCCAGGAAAAGCACTTCTCCCCAGGCAGGGCGGTCAGTCCCCTCAGCGCACCTGCATGCACACACACCACCTCACAACCACACACTGCATGCAGACACACCACCTCACAACCACACACTGCGTGCACACACACACACACCACAGCCACACACTGTGCACACACACACACCTCACAACCCACATACTGCATGCACACACACACCCACAAGCTGCGTGCTGCATACACAAGTCATACAGGAGATAAACTCAGAGTACCAGCCCCAAACAGACTCCATCTCTTGCTCAGTTGCTGTCATCCTAGACCTGTTTCTTTCACCACATTTCTATAATCTGCCAGGGCCTGCAAGGAGAAGCATGGGGGGTTTTCTACCTAAGGCAGAAGGGCCTAGGAGCCAACTCCAGAAACTTCTGCCCTCCTTTCTTGTCAGAGAACAAGACTGGGACCAGCACCTGGACAAACTTCATATGCTGCAGCAGAAGAGGTAGGCTTCCCAGAGGGATTTGTGGCCCTACCGCCGTGATCATCAGACCTTCTGACCCACCTGGGCCTGCTTCCCGAACAGAGCACCCCAGAATTCAGTGCCAGCCACTCAGACACACCCTTTCCTTCCAGGCCTCCCAATGACGGAATCCCAGCTGGCCCCTTTTAGTGGTGTGGAGGACGTGACTTTGGGCCACCCAGGGAAATCTTGAGGGTAGACCTAAGGACAGAGGCAAAATGACAGCCGAGGGGGAGTGAGAGGACCAAAAAGCACCAGAGGGAAGAAGCCAGGGTGTGTGGGATGGGGAGGGCAGGCAGAAGCAGGCTGCTGGAGAAGGGATGCCCTCCTGTGGGTGGTGGAAGCACGATGAGGAAACACCATTCATTTGAATGAAAGTGGATTGTGTGGGAAAGGGGAGGAGAGCTTTGTTTGGGGTAACACTGGGTGCTGACCAGCTGAGGAGGGCAGCCCAGGTGACACTGGAGGGTTCTGAGTTCAGTCCATCTGCCTTTTATTGAGTCTACTGTGTGCAGAGGGGTGCTAGGTCCCAATGACACAAAGATTGAATGAGACTTGTGCCTGCTCCTGGAGAGCTCTCAGTTCGGGCAAGGCTAGCACACCTGCAGGTAAATCATTTCATGGCTTAGCCCTGAGGTCCAGTCCCAGGAAGAGCAGCTGGGGCAGGGATGAATCCTATGGGCAGCCTCCGCCTCCAAGTGTTTTGGGGCTTGCCTCCCGCCCAAGAGCTGCCTGAGGGGTGAGGTTGGTGAGCAGACATTAGCAGTCACAAAGGTCTCCCCTGTACTCCAGAAGATTCCTGTGCTTGATTCAATGCCCTGCTGTCCTTGTCTTCAGATTCTTAATAATTTTGAACAAGGGGTCCTGCATTTGCAGGTTTACGTTGGGCCTGGTCCCCAGTCCCTCTGAGCCCTCATACCGGCAAGCCCTCTGCTTCCTCACCTCCCCATCCAACACCTGCAGTGGAATTTTCACCTTCCTGCTTTAGAGTGGGACCCCTGGGTCTCTGAGAAAGCGAGACTCCAGCCCAAATCTGGACCCTCTGCAGAGGGGCAGTGGGGCTAGAGGGCCAGGGAGGCAAGGACTTTCTTTGTGCAGTGACCTCAGGATGGGGGTGAGTTTGCAATCTCAGCCCTGACCACTCTGGGCTGGTCAGGGACACTGGACTCCCTGGGACTGATTCCCTGGGTGAGAAGGGGCAGGGAACTGACTCCTCACAATGGCCCTTCCTAGGAGCACTGCTCTAACAGGTAAACCCAGGCCCCAACTTTAGATTAAAAGCTTCTTCTTTAAATGAAAACACTTTGGCCGGGTGTGGTGGCTCACACCTGTAATCCCAGCACTTTGGGAGGCTGAGGTGGGTGGATCACCTGAGGTCAGGAGTTCGAGACTAGCCTGGCCAACATGGTGAAACCCTGTCTCTACCAAAAATAAAAAATTAGTCAGGCATGGTAGTGGGAATCTGTAGTTCCAGCTACTTGGGAGGCTGAGGCAGGAGAATTGCTTGAACCTGGGAGGCGGAGGTTGCAGTGAGTTGAGATCACACCACTGCACTCCAGTCTGGGTGATAGAGTGAGACTCTGTCTCAAAAATAAATAAATAAATAAAATAAAAACACTTTTTCTCTCTGGCTCCTGGGGCTATTGAAACAGAAGGATTTGGAGGTGGGGACCTCAGAGGAGCCACTCATCGGCCTGTCCTTTCTGTTCTTCCCCCCACACCCTGTGCTTGCCTTTGGGGCCAATACACATATGTCTAGTTGGAGAGGCTCCAGCTTTATCTCTTGTTAGATTCAAATCTGGGTGTGGTAGAAACAAAGATTAACAGAGGTCCTGTAGAATGAATATCTCAACCTGTTTTGCCTTGAGACACCCAAATAAACAAGCTGTTTAGACCCTTGCATCTAAGGGTATCACACAGGAGAAACAGATACCCTGTAACTCACCCCACAACTCTCCACCCCCTGCAGGGACCTGTATCTAAATAACCAGAGGAGGCTGGGTGCAGTGTAATCTCAGCACTTTGGGAGGCCGAGACAGGCGGATTGCCTGAGCTCAGGAGTTCGAGATCAGCCTGGTCAACATGGCAAAACCCTGTCTCTACTAAAAATACAAAAAATTAGCTGGGCATGGTGGTGCGTGCCTGTAATCCCAGCTACTCGAGAGACTGAGGCACGAGAATTGCTTGAACCTGGGAGGCAGAGGCTGCAGTGAGCTGAGATCGTACCACTGCACTCCAGCCTGGGCAACAGAGCAAGACTCTGCCTCAAAAAAAACAAAACAAAACAAAACCAAAAAAAACCCCGAGGGTGTAGTCAGAACTTTAGTGCCTCACACATTTCACAAATTTCAAAATGCCTAAGAAAGATCTAGCAGTCGGTCCATCCCTCCTCCCTCTCTGTTTTGGTCTCCCAAACTCCCCTTGGTTAAAGACAGTAGTTCAGCAGGCCCAGGAGCAGGGGGACCGCAGATGGAAGTGCCCTCTGTCCCGCTCTCCAACTATCCAGGATCTGAGACAGTTTCTCTGGTTAGATGAGTTCAGCCAAGCCTAGGGTCCTCTTCTCAGAGACTCTCACACCACTCTTTCCAGACCACAGGTTGTCTTCCTATTAGTTCTTCCCCTCCAGCAGAGCTTCAAGGGCCATCCTCACAGGAGAATCACCATGAAGTGAATTGCAAGGAAGGCCCTGGGGCTGACTCTTGCCCAAGTCCACCCTCGGTCATTCGAGTCCAGTAGGCACTTCTTTCCAATTTGTCACTGCACACTGTGTGAGTCACATTGGTCTTAAAGAATGTCTCAGATCCCCTTTGCCCTTGGCCTCATTCTGCTCTGACTGTCTCCTCCAAACTCACGTTCACCTTTCCCCAGGATTCTAGAGTCTCCACTGCTTCGAGCAGCCAAGGAAAATGACCTGTCTGTTCTTAGGCAACTTCTACTGGACCGCACCTGTGACGTTCGACAAAGAGGTGGGATCTGGATTTAAGGGGATGGAGGTGGGAGCAGAAGCACCTACCCCTCCTCCCCAAGACTTCGACTTTGTGAAATGGGGCCTTGGAGGGTGTCTCTGGAGCCTGAGGCCCCTTCCTCAAGGGAATCTGAAAAGTGTCTAACATTTCTGTCTTACTCCACTCCAGGAGCCCTGGGGGAGACGGCGCTTCACATAGCAGCCCTCTATGACAACTTGGAGGCGGCCTTGGTGCTGATGGAGGCTGCCCCAGAGTTGGTCTTTGAGCCCACCACATGTGAGGCTTTTGCAGGTAAGGAGGCTACACAGTAATTGAAGGCGGAAGCTTTGAGATGGAGGGTGTGCTGTTGTCTCTTAAAATTGGCTTCTGAAGGATGGGTTGGGGTGGGGTGATAGAGGGTCAGGAGAACAGGCTCAGTTGAGTTGGGAGAAATGCAAAGGTCCTGGTCTTGGCTTTTACCAATCTGTGGCTTCCTTTAGCATTTGCTTTCAATCCTCCCACGGTCCCTGTAGGACCTATCTCAATTTCTTTCTCTCATAGCAACACGAGAACGATTGTATTCATAGCAATCCCCTACTGGCTCCCAATAACTGAGGGGTAGGTCAATGAGCAGGGCAGCCTGAAGGACAAATTGCTCTCAGTCCCAGGCCACCCTGCCAAGCCCAGGGCACAAGTCTATGCAAAGATCTATCAGGAATGTCCTGAGAGGGATGGTGGGGGATGCTGTGTCCCTGAGAGAACTGGGGACAGAGGCAGACCCCTGATGATGGCTGTCTCTGGGCCAGGTCAGACTGCACTGCACATCGCTGTTGTGAACCAGAACGTGAACCTGGTGAGAGCCCTGCTCGCCCGCAGGGCCAGTGTCTCTGCCAGAGCCACAGGCACTGCCTTCTGCCGTAGTCCCCGCAACCTCATCTATTTTGGTGAGAGCAGGGTTGGGCTTGGACGATGGTTGGCTGGAGAGGCGGGCAAGGCAGAGGGAGGCCAGGGCAGAAGGTTCCTGCCTTCAGCTCCATCTGTTGGGCAGCTGGGATGGGCAGCCCTTCTAGGGCTTAATTAAGCCAGAGGCCAATTCCCCCGACGATCATTCCTCTGGTTCTGCTGGAGGAGTGTCCCTCAGCCTAGAGCTGAGATGTGGGGGATGAGGAGGAGGCCATTACTTGGGGGAGACTGCCCACCCCATCCTGCCATCCTGCGCTCTCCTGCCATGGATCTCTCTGTGTCCACAGGGGAGCACCCTTTGTCCTTTGCTGCCTGTGTGAACAGCGAGGAGATCGTGCGGCTCCTCATTGAGCATGGAGCCGACATCCGGGCCCAGGACTCCCTGGGTAAGAGCTGGGATGGGGAGGGGAGCTGAGATGCTGCAGGGAGCGAGGGGCAGGGTGAGGAGAGGGACTAGGACTTTCAGGAAGACCCCAGGGTGGGGATGGGGACATCAGGGACTTTAGGCCAGTGGCCACATGATACCCTGTGTCCTCCCCAGGAAACACAGTGTTACACATCCTCATCCTCCAGCCCAACAAAACCTTTGCCTGCCAGATGTACAACTTGCTGCTGTCCTACGATGGACATGGGGACCACATGCAGCCCCTGGACCTCGTGCCCAATCACCAGGGTCTCACCCCCTTCAAGCTGGCTGCAGTGGAGGGTAACACTGTGGTGAGAGACACTCCCCATCCCTGAGGTGTCTTTCTAATGACCCTCAACCTACCCCCTGGCCCTGGGAGAAATAGAGGTGAAGGATCCACCTTTCTCTAAAATCCCTTTTCCCCAAACTCCTCAAAGGGATGGTGGTCCCTTGCTTCCTATTCCATCACTGAAATCTTCAGCCTCATGTTACTTGGCTCAAGAGGATTTGAGAACCTCACGTTAACGCATGTGCTATGGTAACCCAAAGCTCTAGCTTCCTTTGCCTATTTTCTTCTTTCTGAGCTTTCTGGGGTTTTGGAGAAGGAAAGATGACAAAAAAGAGGAAGCTTGTAGATGCAGAGGTTTGCTGATTCCCACTGTCTGTCTCAAGGGGTGGGCAACTGGCTCCATGCAATGGAGTTGTTCCCCTTGACCACCTTCTCACACGTTGGCCCCCTCACTCATCCTGGTGGTCTCACAGATGTTCCAGCACCTGATGCAGAAGCGGAGGCACATCCAGTGGACATATGGACCCCTGACCTCCATTCTCTACGACCTCACAGAGATCGACTCCTGGGGAGAGGAACTGTCCTTCCTAGAGCTTGTGGTCTCCTCTGATAAACGAGAGGTATGGATGCCAAGGAGGATCAGGGCTGTCATGTGAGGGAATTTAGTGTTTGTGCGGATTCTGTCCACTTACTAAGATCCTGGGCCCGAGGCACTTCCCAGCCTTATAATAGGTGGAGATGAGAATAGTCTCCTGGGACCTGGGGAAAAGTCCAATGCACACTCCTCTCCTGAATCCCCTGTCTCTCTGCTTAGCTCTAGTCCCTTCTACCTACCTTTCTCATTCTAACATTTCAGATGAGAAACTCCAAATAAGAGTTGTTTCTTCATATTCATTCATTGGTTCAGCATTGATATGGTTTGCATTTGTGTCCAAATGCAAAAATTTCATGTCGAATTGTAATCCGCAGTGTTGGAGAAGGGGCCTGGTGGGAGGTGATTGGATCTTGGGGGCAGACTTCCCTCTTGATGCCCTCGTGATAGTGAGTTTTCACAAGATCTGGTTGTTTAAAAGTGCGTGGCACTCCGCCTGCTCTCTCTTCCTCCTGCCTTGGCCGTGTAGGATGTGCCTGCTTTCTCCTTGGCCTTTTTCCCTGATTGTACATTTCCTCAGGCCTCTCCAGAACCTGTACAGCCTGCAGAACCATGAGCCAATTAAACCTTTTTTATTTATAAATTACCCAGTGCCAGGTAGTTCTTTATAGTAATGTGAGAATGGACTCATGCAAGCATATTGAACACCTGCTGTGTGTCAGGCACTACACAAGAAACAAACAATACAGAAATAAATACAACACAGTTCCTGTTCATCAGCTTCCTCAATTCTCAGTCCCTGCCCTGAATAATTGCAACAGAGTATGACATATGCCATAATAGTTGTGTGTACCATGCATGCAGACAGCCACATTGAGGCAGAGTTAATTTGGCTTGGATAGACCAGAGAAGATGTCACAGAGGAAATGCTGGGGCTGGGTCTTCAAGGAAGAATTGGGAGTCACCAAGAAGATGAGGAAAAAAGGAACTTTTTAAAGAGGGAGCAACATGTAGACCATTCAACAATGCTGGGTTGAGTGATGTGAGGGAAAGGAAAATTTGTTGAAGACTACAGTAGAGAGGAGAAAATACTTCCAGGTTCCAGGACACTCCATGAGAGTGCCAAGATATGGTTTTTGCTTTTTATCTGCCATGTGAGAATTTCCCAGGAACCTTTACAGAGCCAGAAAACATGAATGATTATTAATACTAATGAATAGAAGAAAAGTTGAGTGGCCAGTTTGTGAGATCTTCCTCAGAGAATATCCCTGGAAACAGACACACCTTGAGCAGGATTTCTTAGGTACTGAAAGCACAATCCCACTGTATGGATATCGCCACCACACATCCTTGGTCTTTGATTTAAGCTATTCTCAATATTCTCCAGCAGGTTTCATACATGTCTTGGGTCACTTGCTTTTTTCCTCCGTAAATCTTCCTTTCTAGCCCCTTTTCACATCCTTCACTATCTTCAGCTGTAGTTCAGAAGACCTAGACTCCTGCCTTGGGACCTAGACTCCTGCCTTAGGACAAAAATAGAGGCTTTCTGACTGGGGATCCTTCAGCTTCCTGCCCTACACTGCCAGGCATGTCTGGGAACTGCCCACTGTCTCTCTTCTCCCCTCCAGCTTCAATAGAAAAGGTATTCATGCTGTTAATGGCTAATCACTCTACTGCGCTTTGAATCTGCCTCTTTCTAATTTCTCAGATGCCTCCTCCCATCCATCATCCCCTCTCCTGTGTATCTTTAATATCTCACTGGCTGCTTATATCAGAGCACCATCCCACCCTGCCACATCCTACTGCCTGTAACCTCCATTGCTTCTTTCTAGCCCAACAATACTTCTAGAGCAAATCTGACCACTTCCCTGCTTGAACTCCTCTGTTGCTTTCTGTTATATTTAGAAAAAAACAGAAATACAAACTTCCTACCTTGGCATTTACAATGCATGATGATCTGGCCCTTTTCTTCCTTTCTGACTACCACTCCCAATAGATTCTCCCCTTTCCCCAACCACATCTCAACTGCAAATGGGCAATGGTTTCTCGGACTTTCCTGACCTGGCAACTGCTGTTACCTTATGGTATGATCTTTCCTAACTCTCTCTTTACTCAACTAACTACTACTCATCCTTTAAATCCGCTTTGGTGCTATGGTGCCTTGTGGTTACTGCTATAATCGTTTACCTGTATCACTAGCACAAGGCCCAGCCATATGCGAGAAATATACTAGTTGTTGGTCAAAGAAGTGACTGATGAGCTGAATGAATGATGGTTGCTGCCCTGCCTCTTCTGGTACCCAGTGGGATAAACAACATCCTTCTGTGTTGGTCATCCCAAGTTTCACTCTACTTCCATGCCAGGCTCGCCAAATTCTGGAACAGACCCCAGTGAAGGAGCTGGTGAGCTTCAAGTGGAACAAGTATGGCCGGCCGTACTTCTGCATCCTGGCTGCCTTGTACCTGCTCTACATGATCTGCTTCACCACGTGCTGCGTCTACCGCCCCCTTAAGTTTCGTGGTGGCAACCGCACTCATTCTCGAGACATCACCATCCTCCAGCAAAAACTACTACAGGTGATTCTCCTTGGAAGGGGATGAAAGGGAATTGCATCATGGGGTGATGGTGCTGGAAACGAAGCCGTGTTGCTCAGGGACAATGCCACCTTCTGGGTTCCAGCAGGTTTAGGCTCCTAAACACCCAGGTAGAAATTAGACATGAGACCAAGAGGCCAGAGATGGGGTTTAATGAGCACAAGAGCATTTGTCCAGGGAGCTGTGGATTTTCTCACACAAACTTTGAAAGCGTGCTTGGTATGAGTAAGCCTGTGCTTTTGTGAATTTTTTTGGTAATTTACAAAAAGGATCAGGGTTTTGTAGTGGGATGTTCAAGGCAAACTCTATTGTTCCAAGGAGGAAAATTGTGCTCCAAGTCCATTTCTGAGTCCATTTTTGTTGTGTTGGGGCAACACAAACAGCCCTGCTGGCCTGCATCCTCTTCTGTGTGCTGTCTGTATGGGCCCATGGGAATAATGTGTCAGCTGTCTGACTGCCTTTCAGACACTCTGCAGAAGGATGTCTGGATTGGGTATCAGGTTGAAGTAAATACTCTCTGAGGCTCCATTTATTGTTGTGGGCCTGCCATTCTGTGTTGTGGTGGCCAAGGGAAAACTAGGGTAGGAAGAGGACTTATTAGATGTACAGAGTAAATACAGAAATCTGCTATTGAAGAAAGTAAACCCTCCTTTTAGTGCAACACAAAGGGTAGACTCTAATGAGCACTTCTGAATATACATATTGAACAAATATAGCTACATTTGGGGGGTTGATTGCCTCTTTGTGGATTACTAAAATTTTTGTCCTGGTGAGCTGAAAATACACAGAAGGTGATGTAGGTATGTAGCAGAAAGCAAAAGACCAGGAAAAAGAATTTTGCAAAGCAAGTGAGAGCTAAGTAATTGCAGATTTATCTCAATGCAGGAGAGAGCAGTCATAGGTATAGCTCAGCCTGGACTAGGAAGCAGGGTAGTTTGGGTCAGAAAGAGAATATAAACTTTCTTTAGCCAAGAAGCAAAAACCCTGAGTTGGTTTAGACCAAAGACAGCGGTATGCACAGAGAACAGGGCAAAGAGCCCCAATGAACCCCATGACAGGCAGAGACACTCCATCTCTCCTGTTTCTAGAATTGCCTATATATATATATATATACAGGCTATATATATAGGCGCTCTCTATATATATATATATGCAGTGTGTCGTGTGTCCAGATCCACTGCCTCTCACCAAGTAGGGCTTGCTGCCTGGGGAAGACAAGCCTGAATGTGTTAGAGATGCTGGAAGCAGTTGTGCTCCATACATCTCAGTCTAGGCACAGAAGTTGTCCCTGGCATGGAGACATGAGGGAAATAAGGACAGTTAGGAGATGGCAAGTGGAGGGAGGAATAATTAGAAATTGAGAAAACACAAATAAGGTGGGGATTGCTGGACTTTTCCAGTGCTCCTGGCTCTATATCCTCAGCTGTGTCTTCTCCAACCTTCCTTTGTCTCAAACTTACTTGGAGATTTTTTGCATTTTGAATGTAGACAGGACTCTGGGTTAAAAGGTGGGCAATGCTGAGCCACTGATGACCAAAAATCTCCTTCCTGTGTGTCTCTATCTCTTTGGGATGGGGCTTGTTATGTACAAACACATTTCTTTGATCCAGATATTCTATATTTAAAAGATCGCCTCCTTTGCTTCAGGACTCAGAAGCATAATTATAGCTGAACATCTGACCCATCCTTCTTTCTTTCTCTCTTCTGCCTTTCTTCGTGTACCTTGGCATTTTTACCCTTTTGCTTTCTGCTTCAGTGAAAGCCACTTCAGCTCAAAGAGAAGACTTTGGACTTTCAGATATTCTTTTCTTGGTGGAGAAGTGGGTGGGTAAGAGGATTGAGAATGCTGCTGGAACGGGTTAGATAACAAAGAACGCTAGTGAAAAGTCCCTATGCTTTGAGCCCTGGACCTGATTTGTGGGATGACTATGTTCTTCTTATTCAGTAGTAAGCCCATTTGGATTAGATCCGGGGCTTCTAAACTTATCATCATGATTTGAAAGATTCTGTTTTCACAGTGCATCAGATTTGTTAAATAATAGGAAATTCCTTTTTTTTTTCCCTGCTGTTTTCTTACTTGAAAGTCTTAGAAAAAATGAAAACGCACAAATACAGTGTCTTGATTTGACGCATGCAATTGTTGACATATTCGTTAGCTGGTGGAGCTTTTTCTTAGATGAATGAATACTTTACTGTCCAATTATATTAATAACTCTGGGGTCACAGGGATCTCAGTCACTTCAGGACTTCCTCTGCAGATCTCTGGGGATCTGTGGAAATCACTGGGCTCCAGGACCCCTAAGATCCTTTCTAGTTTAATATCTGGGATTTTATGAGACTAGTGCAACATCACCATGTCAGAACAGATGAGAGAAAACAAATTCCTCTGTATAAGGTAACAAAAACTACACTAAAGCTGATGTTTGTAAAGCTGGAGTTAGTTTATTTCTGTCCAATTTGGGGGACATCTTAATGACTCTAAGGTGCCTTGTTGCTCAGCCGTTAAAGTTCTGCTTTACTAGAGATTTCCCAGAACTCTATTAATTTGAGTTAACTTCTATCTCCATATATTTCTACTTGGTTTAGACAGAGCAGCATGAACTATAGTACTAGTTCTCTTAGATTTCCAGGTGAGTAAAATGTTCAAAGTCCAAGAGTCCAGCAGCTCAGGTTTTAGCCCTAACTCTCAAATTTAATAGTTGTTTGACCTTAGGAAAATCTTACTTCGTGCTAGATCTGTGATTTTTAACCCAGACTGCATGCTAGAAACCTAGGAAGCTAGTAAAATAACTAGGCTACACCCTAGACCTAATAAGTTAGAATGTCTGAAGCTGACGCTCTGGCCTCAGTATTTTTAAGAAACTCTTTGAGTGAGCCAAATGTTCTACCAGGGTTGAGAACCCCTGGCTTCCATCTTTGAGGTCAGTGCAGCTCTGCCTTTCCAGTCCTAGGCCCACCACTCTGGTCATTTAGATTCCCGGAGTACTGTGGTTCAAATTTCTTGTCACATCTCCTTTTTGACTTTTGAAAAAGATTCTCTTCAGCACTCCTTTGTTTTTCTCTTTTCCAGAAATATTTTGCTAATCCATTAATTAAATAAACTATTATTGAGAGCTTCATGCAGGCCAAACAACTGTTTCAGGCGATGGAAATTCAACAACCATAGTCTGAGCAAAACACACATAATCTCTGCTTTCTTGGAGTCTACAGACTGGTTTATATTAATCAAATGATCATACAAATAGATACTTCATTATAATCTGTGACTGTTGGCATCAATGTTATTTTTTTTCTTATAATGAGAAAAGCACAGAGTGGGAAAAAACAACTTATAGCAGGGACCTGGTCCCTCTGGGAGGCCAGAGACTGCTTCTGAGAAAGATGACTGAGCTGAGATCTAGGTATGAATTCAACGTGAAAAGAGAGTTCTAGACAGAAAGAATGCTATTCAAAGGCCTCAAGGCAGGAATAACCTCACCAAAGTCTAGGAACTGAAAGAAGATTCACCAGAGCACAGGGAGCTGGGGTGGGTACCTCCAGGTGAGGTTGTCCAGACAGATCCTTCCCAATTTATGTAGAGTCTTAAAGGCCATGCTGAGGATTTTACGCTTTATCTCCAGGGTAATGGGAAGTCAGAAGGATTTTAAACAGGGGAACTTACAGAGTAATTTTTGTTTTAGAAAAATTACTCTACTTGCATGGTGAATAACAGAGGTGGGGGATGGTAGGAAGGACATGGGGAGACCAGTCAGGAGGCTACTACAGTTTAGCAAGCAAAAAATAATGGTGGCTCATGCCTGTAATCCCAGCACTTTGGGAGGCTGAGGTGGGCGTATCACTAGGTCAGGGGTTTGAGACTAGCCTGGCCAACATAATGAAACCCCATCTCTCCTAAAATTACAAAAAACAAAAACAAAAACAAAAAAAACTGGGCGTGGTGGTGAGCACCTGTAGTCCCAGCTACTTGGGAGGCTGAGGCAGGGAATCGCTTGAATCTGGGAGTCGGAGGTTGCAGTGAGCCGAGATCACTCCATTGCACTCCAGCCCAGGCGACAGTGTGAGACTCTGTATCAAAATAAATAAATAAATACATAAATAAAATAATATAATGGTGGATTGACCTAGGAATGTAGTGGGGAGATAGAGGAAGGGATTGGCATTAGGAGACTTAATGAATGCAAAATCATCCCTACTGTGTTTCCATCTTTTTTTTTTTTTTTGAGACAGAGTCTTGCTCTGTCGCCCAGGCTGGAGTGCAGTGGCTCCATCTCGGCTCACTGCAAGCTCCGCCTCCCACGTTCACACCATTCTCCTGCCTCAGCCTCCCGCATAGCTGGGACTACAGGCGCCCACCACCACTCCCAGCTAATTTTTTGTATTTTTTTAGTAAAGACGGGGTTTCACCATGTTAGCCAGGATGTTCTTGATCTCCTGACCTCGTGATCCACCCGCCTCAGCATCCCAAAGTGCTGGGATTACAGGCGTGAGCCATTGTGCCCGGCCTCCATCTTTTAAAAATCATCTTCTACCTGTCACAGTCAGTGGGATCTATTTGCCTACACATCATCATCCCTCATGAGTTCTGAACAACCCAAAGCACCACTGCTATTTGAAAAACAACTGATTGCCAACTCTGTACAACTTTGTTCAAGGTTCCTAACCAACTCATGGTGGAACAAGCAGGGCACATTATAGACAGGGAAACAGATGTGGAGAACCAGGGAGCCCAGTAGGTAAAAATAACATCCACTGAACACTGATCATGTGCACTTCATGTGCATTCATCAGTGTTTCTGAGGCTTTATTAAAATGTGGATTCTGACAGTAAGGCTGGGTGGGACCTGAGACTTGGCATTTCCAGTAAACTGCCAGGGGAGGCCAGTGTTGTGATTCTGTGGACCTTATTTTGAGTGACAAAGCATTATTCTATCATTTAATCTTCGTAGAAATCCTAACAAGTAAATACAATCATCACCACTTTA